TTATTTAAATTAGTTAAATGGTCCGGGCTCGGAGAAAATCTGGATCTATTTAAATTCTTTAAATTATTTAAATTCACGCGCCTCGGAACTAATTTACTTAATTTACATCCCGAATTAAATTATTTAAAGTCACGGGTCTCGAAACTAATTTAAATAATTCAAATTCCGATTTAAATTATGTAAATTCTTTTCCGAGCCAGTGAATTTAAATAATTTAAAGAAATTAAATAGATCCAGATTTTCTCCGAGCCCAGACCATTTAACTAATTTAAATAATTTAAATAATCTAAATAATTTAAATCCGGATTTGAATTATTTAAATTAGTTTCGAGGCCCGTGAATTTAAATAATTTAATTCGGTATTTAAATTAGTTAAATTTGTTTCCGGGCCCGCGAATTAATGTAAATCCCGAATTAAATTATTTAAATTCACGGGCCTCGAAAACTAATTTAAATAATTCAAATCCCGATTTAAATTATTTAAATTCTTTTCCGAGCCCGTGAATTTAAATAATTTACATCATCTAAATGTTTCAAATAGATCGAGGATTTCTCTGAACCCAGACCATTTAAATAATTTAAATAATTTAAATAACTTAAATAATTTAAATAATTTAAATAATTTAAATAATTTAAATCCTGATTTGAATTATTTAAATTAGTTTCGAGGCCCGTGAATTTAAATAATTTAATTCGGTATTTAGATTAGTTAAATTAGTTTCCGGGCCCGCGAATTTAAATAATTTAAATCCCGAATTAAATTATTTAAATTCACGGGCCTCGAAACTAATTTAAATAATTCAAATCCCGATTTAAATTATTTAAATTAGTTAAATGGTCCGGGCTCGGAGAAAATCTGGATCTATTTAAATTCTTTAAATTATTTAGATTCACGCGCCTCGAAACTAATTTAATTAATGTAAATCCCGAATTAAATTATTTAAATTCACGGGCCTCGAAAACTAATTTAAATAATTCAAATCCCGATTTAAATTATTTAAATTCTTTTCCGAGCCCGTGAATTTAAATAATTTACATCATCTAAATGTTTCAAATAGATCGAGGATTTCTCTGAACCCAGACCATTTAAATAATTTAAATAATTTAAATAACTTAAATAATTTAAATAATTTAAATAATTTAAATAATTTAAATCCTGATTTGAATTATTTAAATTAGTTTCGAGGCCCGTGAATTTAAATAATTTAATTCGGTATTTAAATTAGTTAAATTAGTTTCAGGGACCGCGAATTTAAATAATTTAAATCTCGAATTAAATTATTTAAATTCACGGGGCTCAAAATTAATTTAAATAATTTAAATCATTTAATTCTTCCATATGTTCTCTATACATATAGAAAAAGAGGTAGCAACATAGTACATAAAGGTCCCTCTCTCATATATATATATATATATATATTTGTTTCGACACGAATGTATATATGCTATCTACCAAAATCGCCCAGGCGGCCACGTCCAGGCCGCGACGCACCGCCGCGCACCCGAGTTCCAGGCCGATCGGCCCGGCACCTTTTCGACATTGGCTAGTGGGAATTAGGGTTTAGGGTTTAGGGTGAACACGCATATACAGATGTGTTATATATATATATATATGTATGTATACATATATATATATACATATATATATATATATTGCCGAAGGGCTGTCTAGGTGTTGTCTTTTGTTGAGCTTGTTGTTTTTAGACGGGGGACGCTTGGCGTGTTTAGTGTTTTGCGCGTTTGAGATTTGGGTTTAAGGTTCAGGGGTTTAGGGCTTTAGGCTTACATGGTTGTAGGGTTTAGGGTTTAGGGCTTTAAGCCCTTTAGGGCCTCAGAGTTTTGGGGTGCTTGAGTGTGCTTTGGTGTTTGTAGGTTTTCCGGGGTTGACGATTCTTGTGCTCAGGTGTGCGTATTTAGGGGTGTTGAGGTTGAGGGAATCTCCCTGTAACCCTAAACCTAACCCTGAATCCATGTCTGTGGAAAGGCAAATTGTGGCACTCCAAAAATGTGCCCAGAGTCCCATAACCCTAGACCCGAACGCCTAAACCCCTACACCCTGAACCCTAAACCCCTACACCCTTTGAGCCTAAGCCGGAAGACCCTCTAAAAGGTTTTGGGGGTCTTAGGGTTTTAGGGTTTTCGGGTTGTAGGGTTTTCAGGGTGTAAGCCACACACCCTCCCTCCCAAAACAAAGTCGGAGGCGCCAATGATCGCCAGGCGCGGGGCGCCTCAGGCAGGGCAGCCCAGTATCCATATGTATTATAAGGGTAGCCTTTTTGGGGGTTGGTTGCTTTATAATGGAACCTATAGAACCAACAAAAGGGGGAAAAGGGTACCACGGGCCTACCAAGCAGGGGTAGCTGCTTGCCCCAGTCGGGTGCGTGCTGCGCGGCTGTAGGTTGGGGAGTTTTGAGGCTTCAAGGGCTTCGCCTGTCCAAAACCCTGAAGCCCTAAACCTAAGCCCCTAAACCCTAAAACCCAAACCCCAAACCCTAAACCCTAAACCCCTAGACCCCAAGCCCTATACCCCAAACCCGAACACCTAAACCCCAAACCAGGGTAAATTCACGGTGTTCGGGGTGGAAGAACTTGGGCGTTTTCGGGGAAGGGGCTTTACGCGTTGCACCCCCGAACCGTTCAGATTGAAATGCAAAACTGTATCACGCAAAAGCTGAAACTCCAGTCTGGTTGTAGTGGATGTTGGGAAGCGGTCGAACATCGGACTCTCGAACCGATGGTTACGGGCCTAAACCCTAGACCCTATAAACACATCAAAACCCTAAACCCTACACCCTAAACCCTAAACCCTAAACGCTACAAACACATCAAAACCCTCAACCCAGGCCCGCCTCCATCTGACGCCATGACGCTGATGTCCAGGCCGCGTGCCGGCACAGTCTTGACTAGGTTGGCCTTAAAAACCCTCTGAGAAAAATATCCTGGGGTTCAACGACATTGGAACCTAGGAACATGTCCTTAACAACCCTCTGAAAAAATCCTGGGGTTCAACGACATAACACCCCGGAACATGTCGAACATCCCAGAGTTCTACCTAGCTAAACCCCTAACCCCTCAAAAACCAACCCCTGGAACCCTAAACCCACAAACCACAATCTTGAAGTCCCATCAGGCCCCCTTCTTAACTGGGTTTAGGGGTTAGGGTTTGGGGTTTAGGTTTTAGGGTTTAGGGTTCAGGGTACATCAGACCCTGTCAGGCCGACAACTTGATGGGTTAGGTCGCTGCAGGACCAGCAAAGGTCCGTAAGCTCAACCCTTACCGGGGTTTCACTTATAGTGTTTTAGAGGAGTTTATTGGGTTCTAAAGACGTTTCATAACTAGGGTTTTAAGCCACCCTTGCACCATAACCGCAAACCCCCAAACCCTCAGTTCCCCGGAAAGGGCTGCTAGAAGCAAAAGAAGCTGCGCGAGAGGGGCGCTGTGCTGATTGCACAAGTTGGGGTTTACGATATTGGGGGGGGGGGGGGGGGGGGCGGGTACCTTATTTTAGGGGGCCCTTCTTGTTTCAGGGGATCCTGATCCATATTAGGGTCCCTTATTATGGTAAAGCCAAGTGAAAAAGGGCTTCTTCTCCCAAGCGAAAATGCCTTCCGAGGCTTAGGGCTGTCAAGAACCCAATGTAAGGAGTCACCCCTAAACCCTAAACCCTAAAACCCTAAACCCTAAACCCTAAACCCTAAACCCTAAACACCAAACCCTGAACCCTAAGCCCTAAAACCTAAGCCCAGGATGCCGAGCTTCTTTGCGAAGCCTTGTGACGGGTGCAACCGCTGAGCAGAAGCGAGTCTGGGTTGAATCTGTATAAACCCCAAGAAAAGAAATACCAATGGGGACAATGAACTCTTTCTAGATGCAACTTTTCGTTTTGGAGGGAGGGGGGGGGGGAGGGCGGCTAGGGGGAGCAACCACCCCCTACACGAAAATCCTTGTTTATAAGAACCTTCAAAAAGGTACCAACCCTGAAGTCCCAAACCATGGACTTCGAAACACTCACACCCCGTAACCGGTTTAGGGTTTAGGGATTAGGGTTCAGGGTTCAGGGTTCAGGGTTTAGGGTTTAGGGCTTAGGGTTTAGGGTTTAGGGTTTAGGGTTTAGGGTTTAGGGTTTAGGGTTTAGGGTTTAGGGCTGCCATCCTGAAGTTCAGCTGGTTCTCGTTGGTGTGCATGCCGACCTGCTGCCAAAAGGCACCGCGGTTTTTCTGAGGCTTGCGGCTTCCTAAGCCCTAAACCCTAAGCCCTAAGCCCTAAACCCTAAACTTATAGGGCATCGGAGGGCTTAGCTATTCAGTAGGGCAGTAGGGGTACCCTTCAACTCCGCCCTAATTAGACCCGAAAACACCCCAAACCCTGAACCCTAAACCCTACACCCTGTTACACCCTGAGTATACACAACAGAAGCGCAATTCCCAAGGAGTCCCAGTTGAGGCGCCCTGAAGAACTCAAGCCCCGAGGTCCTACAAGGCCTAAACCGCCCTCCGGGAACCCCAACCTGTTTAGGGTTTAGGGTTTAGGGTTTAGGGTTTAGGGTTTAGGGTTTAGGGTTTAGGGTTTAGGGTTTAGGGTTTAGGGTTTAGGGTTTAGGGTTTAGAGTTAGGGTTCAGGGTTTAGGGTCTCGGGGTTTCGGGCTACATGGTTTTCGGTTTCAGGGTTGTAGGGTTGTATGCTTCAGGTTCCAGGGTCGGCTTAGGGTTTAGGAATGTAGGGGGTTTACCTGAAGGTTTATGGGTAACGACACGCACAGTTAACAGTATGGCAGCTGCCCTTGTAACCTTGATTATGATCCCCCTCGCCCTACTTACGGGTAGTTATCTAAACTAGGGTCCCTTTTTGGGTCCCCTAAACTATACGGCACCCTGATACTAAGGACCCAAAAGGGTGGGGACCCGAATTTAGAGAACCACCCTTACATACCCCTAGATTTAGAATATCAGGGGGCCGGTTTAGGCTTTCGGGGCTTGGGAGGTTTGATTTGTCCGACGAGCTAGCTGCCGAAACTGCGACTCCGGTCAGCTTGCGTGTGGCTTTGCACGGCTTCCACGCCAGGAGGGAGTTTTGCACTAATCAAGCTACAGGCCAACGAGAATGGGGCGCAAAGGCAGCAAAAGGCCAGCGTACTCCAGTGCACAGCACGACAGGAAAAACTCAGGTCACCAGTAGGCATCCACGCCATGTGGGCTGCGGACACAGCTGAGGCGATGCACGTCAGAACTGCAAGGACACGCACGCCACAGGAGGACCAAATCAGCGCATGGACGGCTTGATCTGCCTTCCAGGTAGCAAGGATCCACCTCGCCTCGTTGGCGACCAGCGTCAGCGGAATCAAAGGAAGGACAGAGCACATGGCCTCAGGGCAAAACCCTGAGGTTGAGGGTTTAGGGATAGGGCTTTTGGGGACGAAGCCCCCTAAGCAGAGCCCTTAAGCCCCAAAACAATGTGGGGATCGATAGTAAGGGTCCCTAGTATAGACCCCCAAATAGTCGAATCCCCTTACAAATGGAACCCAACAAGGTACCCCTAAACCCTAAACCCGAAACCCTAAACCCTAAACCCTAAACCCTAAACCCTAAACCCTAATTCGAAAACCGCCATGTCAGCAGCCCTGGGGATGGATTGTTGAAACACAGACTGGGAGCAGCGGTCAGATCGAGAAGGTAGCACTCCGCTGGCGACACAGACACGAGCCTTCTCATGTTTACTTGAGGCTTGAGACCGTCGGGTTTAGGGTTTAGGGTTTAGGGTTTAGGGTTTAGGGTTTGGGGTTTAGGGTTTAGGGTTTAGGGTTTAAGGGTTTGTGTTCACAGGCTAGCTTAAGGATAGCAGAATCTGGCACGTCGGGGATTCTTGACACGCTGTAGTCTTCCAGAACTGGAAACGGCTTCAGCTTTGTCGGGACTTGGGGCTAAGGAGAATCATGCTTTGGGAGGAGGGAGGTGTGTGGGGTTTGGGGTTTGGGGTCTGGGGTCTGGGGTTTGGGGTTTGGGGTTTGGGGTTTGGGGTTTGGGGTTTGGGGTTTGCGGTTTGGGGTTTGGGGTTTGGGGTTTGCGGGTTGCGGTTTGGGGTTTAGGGTTTAGGGTTCAGGGTTTAGGGTTCCAGGTCATCGATTCAAGCTTGGGGCTGTCTGGCTTAGGACTGCCTTGGCCCCAAGCCCCGCACATTGCACCCGAAGCCCCAAACCTCACATCGGTCTCAGAGCTTAGGCCCTAAACCTGGGGTATGAAGCCCTTTGTTTTGGTAAAGCTCTCAACCCTGAACCCTAAACCCTAAACCCCATACCCTAAACCCCTAAACCCCTAAACCCTAACCCCTAAACCCTAAACCCTAAACCCTAAACCCTGAACCCCTTCTAGGGGTCCCAGTGCCAGCAAGACGCAGAGCGAAGGCGCAGCTCGCGAAGTTCACCCCCGCGGCACCGGCCAGGGCGACGCCACCTCTGGTCTTTCCCAAAAAAAGGCGGTGCCCGGTTTAGGGTTTAGGGTTTAGAGTTTAGGGTTTAGGGTTTAGGGTTTCGGGTTTCGGGCTAGGGTGAGGTGGGAGTTGCGGCTTAGAAGGCCTTGGGGTTCGGGGTTTCGGGGTTTGAGAGTTTAGGCGTTCAGGGCAGCGGGATTTCGGCCCAAGATTCGTCGAGATGTGGGCTTTGGGGAATCACTCACCCGCACTCTCAACCCTAAACCCTACACCCCTCCGAATCCTCACCCTACCTTCAAACCCTAAAACCTAGGCCCCCAAACCCTAAGCCCTAAACCCTAAACCCTAACCCCTAAACCCTAAACCCTAAACCCCTAAACCCCTAAACCCCTAAACCCCCTAAACCCTTTCTCCGAAATGATGGTGGGCGCCTCTCAGGAGTCGAACCCCCGACTCACGCCACGGCGTTCGCCAGGCCGACCAGAAGGCTGCCAAGTCCATCCTGGGTTTAGGGCTTAGGGCTTAGGGTTTGGGTTTAAGGTTTAGGGTTTGGGGGTTTAGGGTTTAGGGTTTAGGGGTTTAGGGGCTTAGGGGCTTAGGGGCTTAGGGGTTTGGGGGCTTAGGGTTTAGGGTTTAGGGTTTGGGGTTTGGGGTTTGGGGTTTGGGGTTTGGGGTTTAGGGGTTTAGGGGTTTAGGGGTTTAGGGGTTTAGGGGTTTAGGGGTTTAGGGGTTTACGGGGTTTAGGGTTTAGGGGTTTGCGGGGTCTCCTATAGCTACCGTGCTTGAGGAGCCGATGGAGCTGAACCACCACGCAGTTTTAGTGCTCAAGAGATCAGCCCTCAGGGTTTAGAGTTTAGGGTTTAGGGTTTAGGGTTTTTGGGTTTATGCTTCCAAGTATCAGGGTGAGCACGCAGAGCAGAAAGCTTGTGATGGCGGTGAGAAGGTACACGGGCCAGTTCACCTCTGCTTTGACGCACTTGCACCTCGGCTGGTATTGGGACCGGCGTCCGAAGAAATCACGAGCTCTTGCGTTTTCAATTGGCTGTAGGATTTCGGGGTGGTGGTGCACCAGGCATGGCACCCTTAATGCTTGTCCAGGCACGACGGGCTTCCCCCATTGGCAAACCGGGCACAGTAGCCCCCCCGGTCGAGGCAGTCGCTCGGACAGAATGCATCGAAGCCGCAACTCATCACGGAGTCGAGCTGCACCACCTGCTTTTTGAGGTTGTTGATCTTCATGATGTTTATCATGCCATTATTATTACCATTACATTATTATTATTATTATTATTATTATTATTATTATTATTATTATTATTATTATTATTATTATTATTATTATTATTATTTGTACTATTATTACTACTATTACTGTTGTTCTTGTCTTTTCCAACAGTCCAGATTGCAGGGCGTTTTGCTTGACTCGGCTGCGACTACTTCCCCGGTACGAAGAAAGGACAGCGCTTCTGCCGGCCGACGAAGCGACAGCACTAGACTGTGGAATGGCCAGCAGCATCACTTTGCCGGTTAGCATGCCTCACTTGTCCATCTTCCCAGAAGAACCATGGGTTGAGCTTGGAGATGATTCGGGGGGTTTCTACTGCATACACACATCTCTAATCTGCTAGAAGTACTAGAGGTAGAAGGTTACTTGCTCGAAGATACTCACCTTCCACAGCACGCTCCAGCGGAAGTGCCGATCCAGCTTCTCAGGCCATCGGAAGGCATCGGACGCCAGCGCTAAGGCACCAGTGCAGACACACAACAGCCCAAAGAAAAGCACCACAGCCAGCAGGGATTCCCGGGGGCTAAATGCCGATTGCAGGTACTGATACCAGCAGACCGCGGAGCTGAGGCAAGCATTGGCCACCATGACCCAGTGGCGACCTTCCCAGCTCCTGAGAAAGCTCCGCGCCCTTCCAAGCCAGCTGCACCTCTGCAAGCACCGGCAGCGCAGCCAAAAGTTGCGCCTGTGACCCAGCTGCTCAGTGTACAGAAGGCTGCTTGACAGGGTCGACTGCGGAGCGAGTCTGTGAACGTTTGCTTGCCATGCGGTCACGGAACAGACCACCGCGCTTTCGCTGACGAGGACCAGGCAGCAGAACCATGAGCTCTCCCCGCAGTCGCGCCCCACCAGCGTCAGCAATGGATGTGGCGACTCCCGGGGCCTTGCGCGGTCCAGCAGCAACATCAGGCTCGTGGCGAGCGCATGGCCGGCCAGCAAGACCAGCGGCCCCGACGTGGAAGCCACGCCCCCAAGATCCTGGCGCCACATCCAGCGCTCGAGGGCAAAGAGCGCGAGCGTGACGACCACCAGGGCGGCTGAGATCCAGGCAGGGCCCAGGATCCCCGGCACAGGCCCAGCTAAGACGGGCAAGAGGGCGCTGGCGAAGGCCAGGCCTCTCAGACCCTGAAGGCCTAAAAGGCCCAAAGGCCCCAGGCACTTGCCCAAGCCTGGCGTTTTGCAACAGACGAACCTTCAAAGACCTGGCGGAACCTCCAACAAACCCTCGACTGTCTTGGGTGAGTGAGTGCTTTCGACTTCGGGGGGAGGCCATAGAGCGCAGGTGAGCACACTGAGAATGACAATAGTAAGACGAACGAAGAAAATGAGTGAAGAAAGGCTTCTAAGAAACAGTAAACCCTGAACCCCTACATTCCCGAACCACCTAACACCCCCTAAACCCTAAACCCAAACCCCACGCCCTAAACCCTAAGCCTGAAACCCTCAACCCCTAGCCCTAAACCCTAAACCCTAAACTCCAAACCCCAACGGCGCCAAGCAGCAGCGCCCCGCAGCCAGCGACATGCCACAGAGGCCGAGGCCCAACAGCAAGGCCAGAGCCACGGCGTCCCCAGGCCTTATTTGGGGCTAAGGGTTTGTTTAGGGTTTAGGGTTTAGGGTTTAGGGTTTAGGGTTTAGGGTTTAGGGTTTAGGGTGTAGGGTGTAGGGTGTAGGGCTTAGGGCTTAGGGCTTAGGGCTTAGGGCTTAGGGTTGCAAGGGCTGCAAGGGGAGCAAGGGTTGCGAGGGGTTGCAAGGGGTTGCAAGGGGTTGCAAGGGGTTGCAAGGGGTTGCAAGGGGTTGCAAGGGTTGCAAGGGTTAGGGCTAAGGGTTGTTTAGGGTTTAGTTTTTAAGGTCTAGGGTGTAGGGTTTAGGGTTAGGGCTTAAGGCTCTGAATTAGAGAGCCTGGTACCTGAAGTCTGAAGAACGTACGAGAATGGAGACACGAAGAAGGCGCGTCATTGAAAACAACCCGCATCATGTGAGGTTTGAAGGGCTTTGGGTGTCTTCGGGCGTTGAAGAAAAAGGCTTCTGGGTCTCGGGCAGCACCGGGCCGAATGCTCACGGGCGGTTTCCCCAAACCTTAAGCCACGAAGCCCCGAACTCAAAAACCCCGAATCCGAAACCCTGAGTCGCAGTTTTCAGTTTAGGGCTTAGGTTTTAGGGTTTAGGGTTTCGGGTTTAGGGTTTGGGGTTTAGGGCTTAGGGCTGAGGGCTTAGGGCTTAGGGTCTGGCCTGAAGCCACAGAAGGCGGAGCCCTCGATCGATGAGAGCGAACCCGGGCATTCGATGCACTCGCCGCCTCGCCCATACCTCGTCGCTTGTTGTGCCGCGCTTTGCTGAAAGCTTGGGATGTTCCCCCTTTATACTAACAGGGTTTAGGGTTTAGGGTTTAGGGTGTAGGGTTTAGGGTTCAGGGTTAAGGGTGGGATGCTCGCCCTTCTACTAACAGTCCTTAATAGGGACTATAGTAGCGGTGCTAGAATCCCTATTTAAGGACTGTTAGTATAGGGGGAACATCCCAACTGAAAGCCAGTAACCTGGGGTGTCTGCTACTGCCATATGTAATGGTTCGGGATATGTCTACGTTACGTTCGGATATGATGTGTTTGAATGGTTGAGTGGTTATTTTCTACCGTAGAAGCACTACCTTTTGCTTCACACGCCAATTACATTTCAAAACTCTTCTCTCTGAGCTCGCGGATCAGCTGTAGCGCACCTTCTAGAAATAACCTATGCATGCATGGCCCAGCGAACATATATTCCGCCGGGCAACGCATCCCAAGACACTGCAAAACACAGAGCTGAATAACACACACGCTCTGTGGCAAGATCGGGAATGAATTCGCCACCGACATCGCTCCCATCGTGACTACAGGCCGGCAAGGAGGAGCAACAGTGCAGCTCGAAAAACTCAGAACTGCGCATGCGGCATGCCAAGCCACCAACACGCCTTTCCTTTTCCCATGTTCGCTCCTCTCTCTCTCTCTCTCTCTCCCTCCACGCCGCGCCCTCACCAGCCGCTTCCGCCGTTGCTGCTATTCTTGTGTGGTTCTTCTAAACCCTACTCTTCCCTTCTTCTTCTTCCCTCCTCTCTCTCGGAGACCAGGTTTCAGGATCTCAGGATTTACTGGAATTCGGGGGTGGGGTTCCACGTTCCCAAATTCCTCAAACTCCGGAATTTTTGGAATTCTCGAGTCCCAATGGCCTTGGGGCCGGGTGTTCTAGGATTTTGGGATGTTAGGGACTTTCGGGCGCAGCAAATTTGATTCATTCCTCAAACAAGATCCTAAAAGGTTTCGGCCTTTCCCGAATTTCCCTGAAAATTTGGGAAAACATGATAAGTTTCGGACTTTAGGAGCTTTTTGGAGCCCTGGCCTCTTCCCTCCCCTCCCCCCTGCACCAGGGAAGCGATTCAAAATGGTACATAAAGGTTCCGCTGATATAGAGTTGCTTAAGGCACCCCAAAAAGGCGTGTAGGGTGTAAGGTTCTCTCTAAATATATACATATATATATATATACATATAATCATATATGTATATATGTATATATTTATCTTTTTACATGGAAATGAAACCTGAAAGGTAGTTCCAAGCATGGTTCGTCGTTTGTGTGTTAGGACTCCTCAGGCGAATCCCAGTCACGGAGTTTAAGCTAAGTTAACATAACAGTTCTCTCTAAAAACATATAGGCAAACACATATATATATATGTATGTACGTGTATCATACAATAGGAGAACTCATTTGAGTCTCTGTCCAGACACCGCCTAAGCCGCTGCCTGCTCTCCATAGCTATCGAGGCACGTCATCTCAGGGCAGCGCTGGGGTCGGAAGAGCACCTGTCAGCGTGGCCCTGCTATACCCCGAGGTATGAGTTTCGGGTTTAGGGTTTAGGGTTTAGGGTTTAGGGTTTAGGGTTTAGGGTTTAGGGGTTAAGAGTATAAGGGTTTAAGGGTTTAAGGGTTTACGGTTTCGGGTTTGTGGGCACCTCCCCGAAGTTGTCCCCCAAGCAACGAAAGCCCCTCAAAGCTGTAACTCAGCTAGAGATGAAGCCAACAACCAAGGCGGAGGTGCTTTTTGGTTGCGAAGGTTGGCCCTGGCTTGTTTCCTTGCTAACGTTGCCCCCCCCCGGTTCCTGGCTTTACATGCTGATAATTACAGGATTTCTGGCTGTTCGCAGGCTCTACATGCTGAAGAAACACAGCATGTCTGCGTGTGCCAGGGCTCCAAATGCTCTTAGAACGCACGGCGTAGCCCGATCACGATCTAAGGTTTAAAAGCGACGACAGCTCTGCACTTCTCGCGGAGCATGCGCACGGGACGAGGCGGGAATGCCATCTCGAACGGTGCGAAATGCAGATTTCCTTGAAGCTTGACGTGTACACGTCCAGTGCAGAGGCTTCCGGAACTGAGCAGAACAAAACGAGCCAAGGTGGGAGCGCGATTTTTGGACCGGGGGAGCTCGTAGATGCAACCGACAGTGCGCTTCTCACCTGAGGCGATGACACCACCCGCGCCACACGGGCGTGTCTCATCCTCTCCTCCTACTTACGACGTTCGTTGAACCCTAAACCCTAAACCCTAAACCCTGAACCCTGAACCCTGAACCCTACACCCTAAACCCTAAACCCTACACCCTAAACCCTAAACCCTAAACCCTAAACCCTAAACCCTAAACCCTAAACCCTAAAGCCTAAAGCCTAAAGCCTAAAGCCTAAAGCCTAAAGCCTAAAGCCTAAAGCCTAAAGCCTAGACTTGTATGGCACTCCTAAGCGCTAAGCTCCAGGCTCGCAGGAAGCGAAGCGCCTGAACACTTACGTAACTCCAAAGCCCCAAGCCTCTGAAGCGCTGGGAGGTTTAGGGTTTAGAGTGTAGGCTTTAGGGTTTAGGGTTTAGGGTTTCGGGTTTAGGGTTTAGGGTTTAGGGTTAAGGGTTTAGGGTTTAGGGTCTTTAAGTTTTAGGGTGGCCTGGTCAGCGAGGAGAATCTCCGGCGAACGACTGCCAGGGTCCCTGGCCCTTCCACGCGGCTTGGGCTCTTTGGGCTTAGGGTTTAGGGGTCAGGGTTTGAGGTTTAGGGTTTAGGGTTTAGGGTTTAGAGTTTAGGGTTCAGGGTTTAGGGTTTAGGGTTCGAGGGGACTTGATACTAGGACTCTGGGCTGTTCTATAGAGGTTCCTAGGGTTTGGGTGAAGTTCCTCTTCTGAAAGTGTCGCGAAGCTGCGGGAGAGCGAAAAAGGAAGGTGACCCCGGGTCGCTACGCACCCGACCCTAAACTTCTAGAGTTAAGGGTTTAGGGCTTAGGGTTTAGGGTTTAGGGTTTAGGGTTTAGGGTCTAGGGTCTAGGGTTTAGGGTTTTGGGTTTAGGGTTTAAACCCCACCCTAAGCCCCAAGACCCCTGAACCCCAAACTCTACAGCCGAAACCCTACACATAGCCCTGAGCAGCAACCTTCTTCCTAAACCGTGAGATGACATCACCAAGGCAGAAAGTGCCTCTGGGTTTTCAAGTAGGATAACGCCTAGCCCTAAACCCCAAACCCCAAACCCCAAAACCCCAAAACCCCAAAACCCCGAAACCCCAAAACCCCAACACCCTAAAACCCCAAAACCCCAAAACCCTGAAATCCTAAAACCCTAAATCAAAAGCCCCCAACCCTAAACAACGGCATATCGGTCACCCCCCGAGGTGCAATCGAGAGGCCAGGCGCCCAGGAACCAGGGAACGCATGGTACGGAGAAGGCCTCGAGCGGTTTCGGCTGTTTGGTGGGCTTTGGGTTATGTGGGGGTTTAGGGTTTAGGGTTTAGGGTTTCGGGTTTAGGGCTTAGGGTTTAGGAACCCCTAAAATGAACCCCCCCCCCCCCAATTTCGGGTTTCGGATTCACGGTTTAGGGTTCAGGGTTAGGGTTTTGGGGCGTTCGGGATTTAGGGCTTGGAGAGGGAACAACAAACCCATGGCCAGGGAAGTGAAGCGTTGCTGCTCAAGATCACCCTAGGGGCTGTAGAAGCCTTCACGCCTCCGTCCACCCCCGGCTGAAAGAGGTGGATCTTCTGCAAGGTCGTGCCGACTGCCAGCCCCCCGTCTGCCAACCCAAGCACAGCTGACACCAGCAGCCAGCGCGGGCTCACCTGCTGGCTGCGAGGGGGTCTTGCAGTTAGAGATTAGGGCACTCTCAGCCCCACAACTTCCAAAACCCTACACCCTGAGCTTAATAGCCCCGGCCCAGATCACCGGTTTAGGGAGGGTTTAGGGTTGCGGGGTGTTGCGACCCTCTTGTCCCAGAGCAGCATCCAAGTCCATGACCCTGAAGCCGTAAACATGAAAGTCTGAGCCCCCCGAAACCCTAAACCCTAAACCCTAAACCGTAAACCCTAAATCCCAAACCCTAAACCCTAAACCCTCCGAGTAGTGCCAAGGCTTGGGGTTCAGTTTTTTTTTTTTTTTTGGGGGGGGGGGGGGGGGGGGGGGGCACTAAGTGTTATTCTAGACCCAAGAGTAACCTAGGAATAGAACGGGTACCCTTTTTGGTTTAAAGGCTTGTAAGGGAACCCAAACCCCAAGAAACGGGAATAAGGGCCTACTCTTGGTCCTAGTGTTTGAGACTGCAGGACTTTGCAGGGTTGCTGAAGTGTATCCAGCTCTCCTGGGGCGTGGTGTCTTGGGTTCGGGTCTGGATTTTTTGGGGGCTTACCAAAAGAATAGGGGACCCCCAATATAGACAGATACTAGGATCCCCTTTTATATCCTTTTATTATGAGGACCTCAACAAGGTACCCTGAATTCCCGGAAACCCGCATTTTTGGGTTTGGCTGCCTGAAGCTCGGTGAACGGCGTGCCGCCCATCTTTACCGCCGACGCGTTGAAGAGCGAGATGACGTCGGCTTGCAGTTCCTTCTGGCCGGCGCTGGAGTGAACCTTGCTCGTCGCCGCCGGCACGGTTGCCACACGACCCTAAACCTCAAAAACCCAAAACAAACCAAAAAACAAAAAAACACATGGTAAAAAAAAACATGCAAAGCGACTCGGGTGCTCCAAGGGGCCACTGCAAAGCCGCCTCCACAACAGGGGGCCGCCCGGACGGTTGCAGCGGTGACGGGCGAATAGATCCTCGTGGCGTCCGGGGAGTGCAGCTGCACCTTGGTTGCCCAGGTACCTTCTGATGATAAGGGCACCCTTTCTTGGGGGTTGGTACCTTTCTAAGGGAACCTTGAACCCAAAAAAGGGGGGAAAATAGGGTACCACTAGTGCTACCAGGGCACCATGGATGACGCATTGCACCTCCGAATGCCAGCGGCAGGAAGAACCAACAGCGAGGTTGCGTTGGCCACTATCCTCGGCTGCTTGGTAAATCCCAGTGAGCACTGTTGCACTTGTTGATGCGGTGTTGAGCTCTACAGCTTTTTGGCCGGCAGAGGTCGTGACAGCCGTCAACAGAGAGAGTGACAAAGCAAAAACAGTTGCAAAACAAAAGGCATGACTGTGTGCGCTGCAGACACACACACACACACACATTCGAAACGATACACGCTTTCGACCGTCCTGATTCTCTGGGCCGAGACATGTTTCCCGGAGATGCAGCACCTTTGGCAACACCCACAGGTACGTCTTACGATGCCATGTGCACTGCTTTGCTGTCGCTTTTTGCTGCCTGCCAAGGTGTGCACGACGACCACGACAACCACGACGACCACGACAACCACGACGACCACGACGACCACGACGACCGCCTCCACCACCTCACCAAGATGAGCACAGCAATGACCACAACCACAACCACAACCGTGACCACCACCAACCAACCACCACCAAGCACCACCACCAGCCACCACCACCAGCAGGAGCGCGTTACCAAAGAATCCAGCCCGAACATGCGTTCAAGAGTGGTTTCAAGAGGGTGGATTGTTGCTGTTGCCGATGTTATCGAAGGGCCTACGGAGACATGGAGCGATGCCCAAAAAACATCATGTAGCTGTATAGTGAACTAGAAATTGGGGAGGAAAGCGCACGCACGCGTGCGCACCCGCGCGCACACACGCGTGCGCACACACACACACACACATGCATGTACTTTCTTCAGCATAGCTACGCTACGATGGCAGTGTGGGGGGCTTGTTCCTTTAGTGATGCCAGGCGTGCTCCGGCATGCATGCTTGCACACGGCAATGCAACGCCCCCAACTGCCTCCCACCATGCTCTCGGACTGCATTCGGACTGCACTCATCAAGACACGACTCTGAAAAGCACACCCAAGTAATCCCAAGCATCAGGTCCCCCAAGGAGGTTGCTCCCAACAACTGACCTGTGGGTGGGTCGGTGTCAGGTGCTCGAAGCGTGCAGAATGGCATGATGCTGCCGTCCGCGGCCATGCTCATGCCGCTTTCTCCTCGGGACCACTCGAGGGCGGGCTCTGAAAGGTTCCAGAAGCTCCAGGCACTCTTTCTTCCGTCTCCGAAAGCCACGATGCTGCTGGACACCGCCACGAGGCTGTTTACAAACCTGGAGTCAGCGTCCACGCCTCCCAACACAGCTCCGCGCCAATCGCCGTGTGGAGTGGAGTTGGTGAGGAAATGAAGGCTGACACTCGCTCCGGTCTTGTGAACGCTGGCAACAACGCCGCCCCTTATGCGTACCAGTCTACTCACCACGGCACCCGACCACGCAGGTGAAGCAAGGATGCTGTCCCACACGGAAGCTGAATTCTGGGTCGCAGCCGAGTAGTTGAAGAAGTAGTACGTGTCACAAAGCACCGCGAGACCACTGCGACCCCAATGAGACATGTGCACCACTTCGAGGCCTTCGTCTCTCACTTGAAGGGGCGCTCCCAAGCAGGAAGGTGTCCTTAAGGGATATCAGGAAGGACCCCCAGAAGGGACCCTGAATCTTATCCTATATATACGCTATATACCTAATAAAGTCCCTATACACCTGCGTAGCCCCAAGGTAGGGGCCCTTTAGTCCCTTGATGTCCTGTCTTTCAAGCTCAGGAGTCGGACGGACCAACTCGATGCCACGGCAAGAAAACCCTGTGGTAGGAGCAGCACGCCAGTAGGTCGCGAGAGACATTCTGGCAACGGTTCAGCAATCACCTGCCCTACTTCTCCTTGCACAACAGGAAACCTGTACATCATTGCGTCAGAAAAAAGGAGCAGGTATTCGGATTCCGCGCTTATGAACTCAGTAGCGAGCATGTCCTCGCCGAAGTTGCATGGATCTCTGGGAGGCAGCAGTACGTGGGCACGTCCGGATGCGTTTGCTCCGCTGATTAGGGCAGCTGCCGTAAACACGACGACATCCAACTCACAAGCACCAATCTTCCCATATCTGGTTGCTATGGCTAGGCCACCATCAGGCAGAGCTACGAGTTTCTCATAGAGGCCCTCTTCGGCCGGGGTTGGGCTGACGGGCCTGAGTGACAGAGCTGAGACACCGGCTGGGGATTTGGACATGCGAAGGACCATGTGCTGACATGGACGGCTGTCTCGAGTCGCATTGCAGCTTTTCACTGCGAGGCCTCCTGAACGAAGGGCAGCCGACCCGCGAATGTTTCCGGACCACTGTGCAAAGGGCAGGCCAGGGCCGCTCCTAAACACCGTCTCCGCGCTCCAAAAGAGGACTCTGCTCTGTAGCACCAGCACCAGGCCATCTTCCAACTCCCAGATCGTGGGGGAAGCGGACTCCTCGGTGTCGAGCCGCGGGCGGATGTCGAGCTCCTGGGCGGAGGAGATGCACGATTCCTCCAAGGGGCCCTTGCAGATGAAGACCGCGAAGGATGCCAGCCGAGACGACCATGCAACCAGGGCTACCCGCCCATCCCTCAGGGGCCGTACTGCGCGCGGCACATGGGAGGTGTTCATGGAGTTCTTCCACTGGCCCACAGGGAGGTTGTAGGAAAGCTTGGTGCCCAGGCCATCCAAGCTGGTAGCAAGAGTGCCTGCAACGAGCTGGCCTTGGGAAGTGATGGCTGCGGGGTTCCGTACCTTAGTTGCCCAGTACCTAGGGGAACTAAAGGTTAACCTCTGGGATTGTAAGGGGATGATATTACCCCATAAAGGTTAAAGGTTACCTACTCTACTACTAAGGTACTGAGGAGGCGGTTCCCATAGGCTGCATGAACTCGCCATCGCGGAGCTGCCAGGAGGAGAGCCAGCTGGCACACGACGTCAGCTGCGCTGCCCAGCAGGCAAGGAAGCTCCGAAGAGGTGGGAGCGCCATGCCCTTTTTTGGGGTGTCCTTGATCGTATCTTCCGTAGAGTTTGGCATACTTTAGATCAAACCCCCTGCAGGAACCCAGGTATTAGCGGGCACGGAAGCCTAGCCCAAGTGCCTCTCTGCTGCTGACTTCGAGGGTCGAAGGATGCTGGTACTCCCAAGGGGATTTAGGGTTTAGGGTTTAGGGTTTAGGGGTTAGGGTTTAGGGTTTAGGGTTTAGGGTTTAGGGTTTAGGGTTTAGGGTTTAGGGTTTAGGGTTTAGGGTTTAGGGTTTAGGGTTTAGGGTTTAGGGTTTAGGGTTTAGGGTTTAGGGTTGAGGGTTAAGGGTTTAGGTTTTAGGGTTTAGGGGTTTAGGGTTAGTGGGGTTTAGGGTTTAGGGTTTAGGGTTTAGGGTTTAGGGTTTAGGGTTTAGGGTTTAGGGTTTAGGGTTTAGGGTTTAGGGTTTAGGGTTTAGGGTTTAGGGTTTAGGGTTTAGGGTTTAGGGTTTAGGGTTTAGGGTTTAGGGTTTAGGGTAGGGGCTCGAGGCGCGCGAGTTGCCGCTACCTCTCGAGCCGCTCACAGTGCCTCTCTGGGTCAGCTTGAGCCCCTGGGGTGTGGTGGACTGCTGAATCCTATGAACGGTTTTGGGTTTAGGTTTAGGGCTAAGTTTAGGGCTAAGTTTAGGGCTTAGGGCTTAGGGCTTAGGGTTTAGGGTTTAGGGTTCAGAGTTGAGGGTTCAGGGTTTAGGGTTTAGGGCTTAGGGTCAAAACCCCTGCTCCCTTACAGCCTCTAACTCGGTTCAGCCTCCCTAGCTCGAGGCGTAGTGGAGAGTGCGATGGCCCGAGCTTTATCCCAAACCCTCAGCCCGAAACCTGAAGGCACTTCGTGTCGTGAACCCTCAACGGAGCCTTCAGCCACTGCAGTCTAGGGCTTAAGGTATAGGGTTTGGGGTTGAGGGTTTGGGGTTTAGGGTTTTGGGTTTAGGCTTTAGGGTTTAGGCTTTAGGGTTTAGGGTTTAGGGTTTGGGGTTTAGGGTTTGGGTTTAGGGTTTAGGGTTTAGGGTTTAGGGTTTAGGGTTTAGGGTTTAGGGTTTAGGGTTTAGGGTTTAGGGTTTAGGGTTTAGGGTTTAGGGGGCTGTGGGGCAAGGACCCGGAACGCTCAACCCCACGCTGGCCAGCACGTCGCCCTTCAGCCGTCGCAGGCTCTGCTTGTTGTAGCCTGCGCAAGGTCGCACATACAGTTACCTATACATATACTATCCTAGGGTTTAGGGTTGGGGCTGAAGAGTTTATGGCGATGCTTTGGGTTTGGGGTCGCCTTCAAACCCCCAGAGATGACTAAACAGGCACTACCCAAGAATATCCTTTCTACATGAACAGGCCGCTACGTTGGCCGAGCCTCGTAATACAGACTACTCCTCTGCCCCAAAACCCGAAAACTTTGGCCAGAAATGGGAGTTTACGATAGTAAGGGACCCAAAATGTATGTCAAAAACAAAAGGATCCGCTTAGAATAAGGACCCCAAAAGGTACGCCAAGGCAAGGTCATCCGAAGTGCCTAGCCTTTGCGAGGCGTTTCGGGTGGCGGGCTTGGGAGCTGGGATTTAGCGTTGAGGTGCTCCTCACGAGACCTGCTCGGAACACCTAAAGGCGATAGAGTTTAGGGTTTCGGGGTTAGGGGAACTAGAGCTTAGGGTTTTGGGGTTTAGGGTTGATGGGGTTACCCCTGGCTTGGAAGCCTGAGACCCTAGGCTTTAAAGCTTAAGGCTTCAGATGCTGTGGGTTTGGAGTCGACTAGGAACCCACGACTCCAACCAACCACCCTAAACCCCAAACCTACACCCTACACCCTAAACAAAAAAACCCAAATAGACCCTAAACCCTAAACCCTAAACCCTAAACCCTAAACCCTAAACCCTAAACCCTAAACCCTAAACCCTAAACCCTAAACCCTAAACCCTAAACCCTAAACCCTAAACCCTAAACCCTAAACCCTAAACCAAACCTTAAACTAAACCTTAAACCGCAAACCCTACCTGCCTGCGCGGAACAAGGCTTCGTAGCCCACCTCCAATCCCCACCTGCAGAGTGTGGGGTGTCGGGCGTAAGGGGTTGCCTTACAGGCTTGAGGGGTTAGGGTTCAGGATTCAGGGATTGGGGTTTAGGGTTCAGGGTTTAGGGTTTAGCGTTCTGGGTTTAGGTTCTAGGGTCTGGGGTCTAGGTTCTAGGGTCTAGGGTCTAAGGTCTAGGGAGAAGAGGGACTCTGGGGCTTTAGGGGTTTTTGAAGGTTTTTTCGGGATTCGGGTTGTAGAGGTCAGGCCTGGGACTTAGGGTTTATGGTTTAGGCCTTGAGGGTTTGAGGGTCTTTAGGGCTTATTGTCGGGGGTTCGGGGTTTAGGGCTTTAGGGGTTGAGTTTGTTCAGGGATTTCGGTTTGGGGGTTTGGGCTATGACCTTTAGGGATCGGGGTGCTCGGGTTCTTGGAGAGCGTAGGGTTTCAGAGTTCAGGTTCAGGGCTTCGGGTGACTCATGCATGTTTCGGGCTTCGGGCTTGGGGAACCCTAAACCCTAAACCCTAAACCTGACACCCCAAACCCTCAGGATCCTGTTAAACCACCCCCCCCTCACGGGCCTACCTGGGTCTTCGGGGTTCTCCAGGGCTTCGGGCTCCGGTTAGAACCCTAAACTCTAAACTCCAAACCCTAAACCCTAAACCCTCAACCCTAAACCCTAGACCCTAAACCCTAAACCCGAAACCCTAAACCCTAAACCCTCAACCCCTGAACAATAAACCCCTGAACAATAAACCCTGTGGGAGAGTGTTGGCAAGCTTTGGATGGCTTCCTGCTGCGCTTGAGGGTTCGAACTCAGGGGATGGAGTTTGGGGTTTGGGGTTTAGGGTTTGGGGTTTAGGGTTTGGGGTTTAGGGTTTGGGGTTTAGGGTTTGGGGTTTAGGGTTTAGGGTTTGGGGTTTAGGGTTTGGGGTTTTTGGGGTTTGGGGTTCGGGGTTTAAGGTTTGACACAGGAAGGGCCTGGCCTCTCCGACAAAGGCATGGCGCGCACCTGCCAACAAGCCAGGGAACCCGGTTCAGGGCTTTGAGGCTCTAGGGCTTCGGGCTTTAACCCTAAACCCTAAACCCTAAACCCTAAACCCTAAACCCTAAACCCTAAACCCTAAAGGGCTTAGAGGTCAGGGCTCAAGGGGCTTTCGGGGTTTTGGGGCGCCACTTTAGGCAAAGGCTGAATGGCCGACGGCTGGTGCAGCCTACACTTCACGATATATGGCGGGGAGTGATCTGATGTACAAGCCGCCTTTGGGGTTCCAGAGCCCATACTAGGGTTTAGGGTTTAGGGTTTAGGATTTAGGGTTTAGGGTTTAGGGTTTAGGGTTTAGGGTTTAGGGCTTAGGGTTTAGGGTTTAGGGTTTAGGGTTTAGGGTTTAGGGTTTAGGGTTTAGGGTTTAGGGTTAGGGTTTAGGGTTTAGGGTTTGGGGTTTGGGGTTTAGGGTTTAGGGTTTGGAGGTTTAGGGTTTAGGGATCAACCCCCATCTTCTACTGGGTTGGGCTCTCTCCAACACGTCAGAGCCAAAGCAGCCTTAAAATGTCATGTCTCTGCAGGGTGCAGGGCAGAAGATTCTTGAGATGTTAGGACAACTTGCATCCGACAGGAACAAAGTCTGCAAGCCTACGACCCTACAGGATGTAGGGGGCTTCGGGGCTTAGGATTTAGGGTTGTTTAGGGTTTAGGGTTTAGGGCTTTGGGTTACCCTAAACCCTTAACCCTTACCCCTGAGCCCCAAAGCGGCTGCCTGCTTTTCCGCGATGCCGAAGAACTTGTGGTCGAACATGTCCGCGCCATCCACAAAGGTGCCATGCCTGTGTCGCATTATTTTTCTTATTATTTTACATGATTTAGTATTAGAATAAATAGTATTAGATTATTTTCTTATTAGTTATTGTATTGATTTGTATTATTGTTCCATTTCTAGACTATTCTATCAGCCTTAAAGCACTGGTTATCCCAAGCCCCGCGCGATCTGAAGCACCCAACAGCCCCATCCCTGTCGCAACACAGGATCATGCACCCCTAAAGCCTAAACCCTAAACCCTAAACCCTAAACCCTCAACCCTAAACCCTAAACCCGAAACCATGGCCTGCAGTACATCTTTGGCTCACCACCCGTCTCCTGCAGAGCTCCAAAGAGAAAGAAGGGGCTCAGGCGGCTCAGGGTCTGACTTGAGGTTTGGGGTCGAGGGTCTGATGGGGGTTTAGGGTTTAGGGTTGAGGGTTGAGGGTTGAGGGTTGAGGGCTGAGGGTTGAGGGTCACCCAGACGTGAATCCAAGGGTGTGACATTAGGGTTGTTAAGGCCCCCCTCAAAGCCCTTGTTTAAATAATATCGAATTACAGGGCTTTTACCACCTTGAGACCCTGTTAACGCCTGGTCTGGATAACACTCGTCTGTTCAACTTATAAAGAATATGTTGGGATGTTCCCCCTTGTACTAACAGTCCTTAAAAGGGATTATAATAGGGGGTACTCTTCGGGCTTTAAACCCTGTCCCCTAAACCCTGACACTTAACCCTAAACCCTTAACCCTTAACCCTAAACCCTTAACCCTAAACCCTAAACCCTGTTTAGGGCTTGGCGTCCTCGACTGCCAGCCTTGGAAGGGATGCAAAAAGCGTTTCGAAGGCTCACGCACTTTCTAAGTCGCAGTCCCTCTTGGACCTGCTGTTGTAGGGGCTAAGGATTACAGGCTTAGGGTTTAGGGTTTAGGGTTTAGGGTTTAGGGTTTAGGGTTTAGGGTTTAGGGTTTAGGGAATAGGGAATAGGGTTTAGGGTTTAGGGTTTCGGGCGTAGGGTACGGAGCCCTTACTTCAAGGCGCCGAGAAAAAGGACCCTCATTGGAGAGAACTGCGCGTGTGGGAACATGGGGGCCTTGAGATTCGGGGATGCCAGGGTCTCTCGGGACCTAGCGCACGACACCCGACTTGAGAGTTGGTCTCATTATTATGGGCCCTACACCCTAAACCCTAGACCCTAAACCCTAAACCCTAAGCCCTAAACCCTAAACCTCTGTTTATGTATAAGGTCCTCAAGGAGGGGTGAAGGCACCTGGGGAGCCATAAAGAAGCTTAAAAATCCTTCGGCCCCCAAACCCTAAACCCTAAACCTCTGTTTATGTACTAGGGAGTCCCCGGGCTTATATACCAGCTTACCTGAGGGTTTAGGGTCTAGGGTTTAGGTTGTTTAGGGTTTAGGGTTGAGGGTTGAGGGTTGAGGCTTGAGGCTTGAGGGTTGAGGGTTGAGGGTTGAGGGTTTAGGGTTTAGGGTTTAGGGTTTAGGGTTTAGAGTTTAGGGTTTAGGGTTTAAGATCCGCCGACCCTGGCGGCGTGTTGGATGGGAAAGGAGGTTTTCAAAACCTCCCTCTTTCTCAACGCGGGGGGGTAGGGGGGGGTCCCCGGGCAGCTTTTCCATGGAGGGCCAGACCACCCACACGGCATAAACTCACGGACCATAGGCGGTTTCGCACAGGACATAGGGGCCCTTTGGGAAAAACCACCCCCCCCCCCCCCCCCCCCCCCCCCCCCCCCCCCCCCCCCCCCCCCCCCCCCCCCCCCCCCCCCCCCCCCCCCCCCCCCCCCCCACCTGTCTTTTTGGCTTGAGCTTGTCCTGGTGCTACCCCCTACCCCCCCCAAACGTTTCACACTCTGCCGAGCAGGCTGGGATGATCTTCGAACCATGTGAGCGGGTTTGACCTCTCAACTATGCTCCAGCGGGGTCGGCGGCTTGAGCCGGAGGCTCTTAGATCCGGCCCCCGCGCCGCCCGTGGTTCAGGGCGGAGCCCGCGTCGCACCAAAGCGCTAGCTTTAGGGGCGAGCGCCCGAGCCGCCGACCCCGCCCAAAATTGCTTCAAATTCGCGCGGGGCCCTTCGGGAGGCCTCCGAAACGGCATCCAAGGGGACGCAACACGCGGTGGTGCGAAAAGCACGAAAACCTCGTAAAAACCATGGGTTTTTACGAAAAACCGAGGCCACAAAACACCCGCAGCACCCCATTAAACCCTCACGGCGCGCATCATCGGCCCTAGCTTTTCACATGGGGCGCGCGCCAGGCCGAAACCACGTTTTTCAAGGTTTGGGGGGGGGTACCGGAAGCCCAAAACCAGGCGAGCATCATGAGCATCAGCAGCCCTGGCCCGCGGCCCCAAGGCAGCAAAAAACGCTGAAAAACGCTGAAATCACCGTAAATACCGTGTTTTTATGAGGTTTTTCACGCGTGCCTCCGACCCCCACCCTTGTTGCCCTTGACCCGCCCCCAAAGTGCGCATCATCGAAACCCATGTCCGGGGGGGGGTCTGCTGATGCTGCTGATGCGCGGGGTCCGGGCGCATCATCCAGCCATCGTTTCTCATGTCGGCTTCGTGGGCCTCCGGGCCCACGGCCCAGAGACCCAGCTGATGCTCATGATGCTTGTTTTGGGGGGGGGTTCCAACAGCAGAAAACCTCGTAAATACCGAGTGTTTTGTGGGTCCACGTAAAAACGCCCCTAAAATCGCTCATTTTACGCGCTCGAACGGCTTCGTGCCTACAAAACACCCGAACAGCAGGACCCCGAATGCCCTTAAGGGCATTCGGGGTCTTGCTTTTGGGGGTTTCGTGGGCACGCAAGCGTTCAAGCACATACAATCGGCGTGTTTAAGGGGGTTTTGGATGGCCTGGGGGAGGCCGCTGATGCTCATGATGCTCCCTTTCCTGGGCCCCAAAAGGCTTCCCAAGCCCAAAAACACGTGTTTACAGCGTTTTCTGAAGGTTTTTCGAAGGCAAAACGCATGCATAGAATGCTTTTAAGGCCCCCAAACCAACCCCACTGATGCTCCTGATGCGGGTGCGCGCGCGCGCGCGCCGGGGGGGAGGGGGGAGGGAGGGGGGGCGAAGGCAGGAGAAAGAGAGACAGAGAGAAGGAGAGGACGAAGACACGGGAAAGAGAAGACAGTGCCAAGGTTCAAGGTTTCGTGCTTTGGGGGGCGGGGGCCGGCCCGTGCCGCTAGGCCTGAAATTCAAAACCGTCCCAGCTTCGAGGCGCCGACCACTCTTGCAGGTCGAAGCGCGTGTGCGGAATCTCGATCACGAAGTCCGCGCCTCTTGGGGCTTAGGGGTCCTAAGGGGCACGGAGCCCTAGAATCCGAAACACGAAAGGTTTAGGGCTTACTTAGGGCTTAGGGCTTAGGGCTTAGGGCTTAGGGCTTAGGGCTTAGGGCTTTAGGGTTTAGGGTTTAGGGTTTAGGGTTTAGGGTTTAGGGTTTAGGGTTTAGGGTTTAGGGTTTAGGGTTTAGGGTTTAAGGCGGCCCCAGCGCTTTCTGGCAGAGGTTTCGCAGCATTTTATGGGCTGTTGGGTTGGGTGTTTTGGGCTCTGGTCGCATTATCCCCCGTGCCGGGCGTTACCAGTGAGGAGTTTGGATAAGCTACGCAGAAGCTTGCAGGACATGCTGCTGGGCAGGAATGGACCCTGAACCCCAAACCCCTAAATCGATGTGCGCGCCCTGGAGAGGGTGGTGGCGCCACATGAGCCTCAGATCTTCTCCCGCTGTGCGGGAAGGGCCCTAAACTCCAAGCCCTGAACCCTAAACTCCAAACCCTAAACCCTAAGCCCTAAACCCTAAACCCTCAACCTAAACCCTAAAACCCTAAACCCTAAAACCCTAAACCCTATACCCTATACCCTAAGCCCTAAACCCTAAACCCTGGAGGGCCTCCCACGGCAGGCAGGCCCAAGCTGGCCGGCTCGTCGCCCGGGCTGGGGGTCCACAGGGCGCTGCCCGTGATGGCGGCCTCTTTCAATGAGGGGATTGTGGGGCTTAGGGTTTAGGGTTTAGGGTTTAGGGTTTAGGGCTTAGGGCTTAGGGCTTAGGGCTTAGGGCTTAAGGTCTAGGGGCTTCGCTGGGGATCTTGAGCTTGGGCCGAGCAGTTTTTTCAAGGTTTAGGGTCTAAACCCTATAGGATACCCTAAAGCCCCACCCCACCCCATTCCCGGCCCCCAACCGTCGCCTGCTCATGCTCGCTGATCAGGGCGCTGGCGGCCCGCACCCAACTCCCTGGGATGGCTGCCAAGGCATCCTTCCACCGGAGCTTAGGGAGCTCAGGGGTTCAGAGGCTTCGGGTTTAGGGTTTGGGGTTTGGGGTCTGGGTTTAGGGTTTAGGGGTTTGGGGTTCGGGGTTCGGGGTTCGGGGTTCGGGGTTTGGGGTTCGGTGTTTGGGGTTGGGGGTTTGGGGTTTGTTGAGGTGGTTCCGGGGGGTTCAGGGGGTTCAGGACGTTCTGGGCGTTCAGGGGGCCTTGGGGTGCAAGGCCCAGCGTTGAGGGTTTAGTGTTAGGGGTTCAAGATTTTGGGTTTGGGATAGGGCTCGGGGCTTAAGAGACCGTTAAGGCTTCTAGTGTTCTGGGTCTAGGTGGGTACGAAAGCCCCCCGGAAAACGCTCAATTCCAAACTCGTGAAAGTCGGGGTAAGGTGACAGAACAGGGCCAGCTTTTGACCTGGAGCCGGTTGCTTCAACCGTACTCAAGGGACTAAAGGGGGGTACAAGGGACATTAGGGGCTATTTAGGGATTGTTTATAAACAGGGAATATATAGGGGGGGGGGGGGGTTATATATATGGGTTACATAGGGGAATGTGGAAAGCGGCTCTTCCACAAGAGGGCTCTGAGATGTAGGGGACACGGAGCAAGATAACCCAAATCCAGAAGGAGAACCTCAAATGGGGGGTTTCCGAAAACAAGGACACCCTTCTTGTTCTTTTTTTCGGCGGGGGTCCCTTTAAGGGGATTCTATTCTATTTGGGGCGTTCTATTTGGGGTGTAAAAGTGGTACCCCTATTTTGGGAAATACCCAAATCCTCAACCCGAAAACTTTCATAACCCTAAAAAACTTCAAAGCCCGCAACCCCCAAGTCCCCAAACCCTAACTCCCGGGACAACAAAATTTTCGGAGTAACACCCCGAAATCTCGACTCTAAACATCCCCCAACCCAAAGCATGCCAAACCCCCTACAACCTGAACCCAACCCTGAACCTAAATCTAAACCCCAAACCCTAAACCCTAAACCCTAAACCCTACACCCTAAACCCTAAACCCTAAACCCTAAACCCTAAACCCTAAACAATCCCTCTCAAACTGCCTGGTTTTGGTCAACATCCAGCAGCTTCACGGCCTCCAGGCGCTTCAGGTACCTGAGCAAAATCTTCACCAGCAGAAGGGTTTGGGGCTTTAGGGGCTTGGGCTTTAGGGTTCTCAGGGTTTGGGGCTTGGGGCTTTAGGGTTCTTGAGGTTTGGGGTTTGGGGTTTGGGGTTTGGGGTTCTCAGGGTTTGGGGTTTGGGGGTTGGGGGTTGGGGGTTGGGGGTTGGGGGTTGGGGGTTGGGGGTTGGGGGTTGGGGTTTGGGGTTTGGGGTTTGGGGTTTGGGGTTTGGGGTTTGGGGTTTGGGGTTTGGGGTTTGGGGTTTGGGGCTGTAGGGATTTCAGGGTTTGGGGTTTTAGAGTTCTAGGGTTTTTGGGGCCTAGGGCTTTAGGGTGTCGGGCTTGGATTGGCTGATGCCTGGCATGAGGGGCTTTTGGTCGCCGGGACTAGAAGTTCTGACGAACACCCCTTCCGGGACGGGTTGGCTCAGCCGCTCGCTCATGCACTGCTTCTCTTCCAAACATACTGTTTCACGGTACCACCTACTGACACTGTCTGCGACCTGCCCAGCTTGGGCACACAGGCTTTGGACTTGGAGCTATGGTGGCACATGATGTTGAACAAACCCATCTCGAGCCCCTAAACCCTAAAACCTAAACCCTAAACCCTAAACCCTCTTTCTCAGCACGCCCATCTCATGCATAAAGCTGCACCCAGGACGAGATGACGCACCACAGCTCAAGTGTCATACAGATACATTACTTGTGAGACATGCGCTTAGAAGGCACGTGCAACGCCATCTCAAAAGCTCACGCCCGCATGGTATGGGAGCCTTACGAAGTAGATTGGGGTTTTGAGTCTTGAGGGGTTATTATAGTAGAATTACAAAGGAGGCCAGCAGGGAATAATGTGAGTACTTCTTCCGACCCCCTAGATTACGCACACCCAAGTTCCTTCAAAAGATCCGGGCTCCCGGGCCACTTCCATAGATCCTGCAAGTACGGCGGCAGCTTGTCCTCAACAAAGGGGGCAAACAGCGCTCAGATCGATGGATTTGGGGGGGCTTCCGAAAATAGGATTCTATTTGGGGTATAAAAGGAGTACCCCCTATTTTGGGGAAATACCCAGACCTCAGACATCTGGGCGTTGTGCAAGATGTGAAAGCCCCCCCTTTTTCAACGGGACTCAAAGAGGACCCTGACTGTCCAGAACAAGCCGCAGAGGGAGAGCTTCTCCGGGATTTCAGGAGGCTTTGGGTCAGGAATTCGGTGGGAAACCCATAGAAGCCAGACGCGAAACCCACGCACAGGCCTATATAGCTATGTACGCACTTCTTTGCACAGAGAGCCTACGACCTACACACCTACACCGAAGATCATAAAGAGGTGGTTTGGGTTCAGCTAAACCCTAAACCCTGGCCGTGCCACGGTCCTCCGGCCCGTGCGCAGCCCGGGGAGAAAGCAGGGAGGTGCTGAAGACGAAGCACCTTCGAGTTTTTGGGGTTTGAAACTTCAGGCCTAGGGGAGGAGGTCAGGGTTTGGGGTTTGGGGTTTATAAGGGTTTAGGGTTTAGGGTTTAGGGTTTGGGGCTTAGGGTTTACGGTTTAGGGCTTAGGGTTTAGGGCTTCGAGGCAGGGAGACACAGATAAGGCTGAGCAATTGAGTAGCGACGTTTAGCTGCAATTAGAGCTCGGCACAGTCTTTTCTGGCGGCTGAGAGAAGCCGAACCACCCCCCCGCTAAAAATATGATGATAACAATAATAATAATAATGATGATAATACTAAGAAGTATGATCATAGTAATGGAAATAATAAAAATAAGAAGAAGAATAGAATGTAACAATAACAATAACAAGAAGAAGAACAACAATCATCATAGCCTCCTAGAAATGAACAGAAGGACCCTGCAAGAACACGGCAAAGCCATCCCAGAGAGTGGACATGCCTCCAATGATTGGAGGCTGCTGGAAGGCACGCAGCGTACTCCTACATTTGAGCATTTGGGGTTTCTATCGTGAACAAAACCATTTAGGATTTAGGTCTTGAACCCCAAAGCCCAACGCCCCAAGAAAGCCCCAAGCTCCAAGCCCCTGCCTAGACTGCCCATATACGCCGAAGTCTTTGTATTACTCAGTGTCAGGGTACCTTACGGTCTTTAAACTGCAAGCCCGAACCCTAAACCCCAAAACCCTGAAACCCTAAACCCTAAACCCAGAAGCCCTCAATCGCCGCCTTCCCATGGCTCCCGGAATCGGCGAGAACTGCCGTGCCCAGAGCTCCGGGCGGAGCCTTCAACGTGGGGTTCAAGGTTCTAGGGGTTAAGGTCTCTAGGGTTTTGGGCTTCTAGGGTTTAGGGGTGTAGAGTTTAGGGTTTGGGCTTTAGATGGCTTTAGGGACTTTGTGCGTTGTGCACCTCTTTTGTCAAGGTACAAGGTTGCTCTAGGTACCGTTTTGAGTCCTTCGTGGGCTTTAGGAAAGGCTTGGGGAGAGGGGGGGGGGGGGGGGGGTTGAGAGCTTCGGGGATGGGGTTTAGGGTTGGGGTTTGGGGTTTGGGGTTTGGGGGGGTTTAGGGTTTAGGGTTTAGGGTTTAGGGTTTAGGGTTTAGGGTTTAGGGTTTAGGGTTTAGGGTTTAGGGTTTAGGGTTTAGGGTTTAGGGTTTAGGGTTTAGGGTTTAGGGTTTAGGGTTTAGGGTTTAGGGCCTTGTGCCTTCCGGCGTTGGCTATGACCCAAAGCCCTGAAAGCCGAGAATAGAATCACTGTAACACGTCCTTAAACTTCAATTGAAGATAAAGCCCAAAAGTCCCTAAAGCCCCTCCCTGAACCCCAAAAGTCTCAAAACCCTCCAGCCCCTAGACCCTAAAACCCTCAAAGCCTGCAAGGAAGATCCCGAAACTCCCCCCAAAAAACCATAAACCCTAAACCCTAAACCCTAAACCCTAAACCCTAAACCCTAAACCCTAAACCCTCCCCTAAAGCTTGGGGCCCAGAAGCATGAGCAGCATCCCAGCGGTGACTGGCACCTGCAGATGGGAGTTTTAGAACTAAAGGGGTTTATGGAACTAAAGGGGTTTAGGGTTTAGGGTTTAAGGTTTATGGGTTTATGGGTTTATGGGTTCAGGGTTTAGGGTTTAGGGATTAGGGCTTATGGGTTTATGGGTTCAGGGGTTTAGGGTTTAGGGTTAGGGTTTATGGGTTTATGGGTTAAGGGTTTAGGGTGCAAGTTTTTAAGGGTGCAAGGGCTTAAGGGTTTGTAGGGTGTAAGGGTTTAAGGGTGTAAGGGCTTAAGGCTTCGGGTGTAAGGGCTTAAGGGTTCAAGGGTGTAAGGGTCAAGGGTGTAAGGGTTTAAGGGTTCGAGGGGTCAAGCACAAAAGGGTTTAAGGATCCCAGGGTTGGAGAACTTAGGGGTTTAGGGCCTATGGATCAGCTGGGCTGGCGTTGATGTCTTGGGTTGACAGCCGCAGTGTCCCAAATCCTCCACGTTGGGATGTGAGGGAGCCACCTGGCTTCTACACCTTCTAGCTTCAAACACGAAACCGAATCGCAGAAAGGGCCCAGAATGTAGCTCAAACCTCAAAATTTTGCTTCTGCTTGTCGTTGTTAAATCCTGAAAGAAATGAGGTAGGTCACCTGTGGAGAACATGATTGTTGAAGGCCATGGCCCGTGCTGTGACGAAGTTGCATGATGTACGATACTGACCTACACAGGTTGGGATGTTCCCTCTTATACTAACAGCCCTCAATAGGGATTATAGTAGGGGGCACTAGAATCCCTATTCAGGGCTGCTAGTATAAGGGGGAACCTCCCAATGCACAAGTCTACACTGAGCAGGCAGATAAATAGGAGCCGGTCGCATGAAAAGTTCGCAAGCCTTCAAAACCTCAAGCCCCCTGTGCCAGTCCTAAACCTCTACTCCGGTCACCCGAAACCCACGACCCGAAGCCCGCCGAAAACCTGGACACAAGCACGTCCGCGCGTCACTGGCTGTCAGCAGACTAGACGTGGTATTCTCATCTCGTTGACGAGGCCAGGGACCTCGCAACCGATGTCCAAGGTCGAAGAGTCGAAGAGGAAGAAGTCGCAATTTACAGCACGTGTTGAAGCAGAGCTGACCCGGGCTGTCGTAGTATCGCCTGGCATCTCACGCCGGCATTCATGAATCTGGCCGTTGCAAAGCGGCGACGCCGGCGAAGAAGACCCGCATGGCGAATTCACAGCAAGACCAGCAAAGGGAAATGAAAATACACTCCGGCAACGGCGCAAGCTACCGGATCGTCTAGGGGCCCCGATGGAATTCAAACCTTGTTGGGCCACAGCTAGGTTTACGCGGCACTGCGGTCACTGAGCACGTCTTACCGTGCTGCAGCCGCGGCACAGAGCAAAGAACTGCAGCCGCTCAGCACAATCACTACCAACAGTTTGAGCTCAAGTGCCTGCAACACACGTCTCGCATGACGGTGTGCACGAAACAAACATATGATGCCCCTAAACCCTAAACCCTAAACCCTAAACCCTACACCCTACACCCTAAACCCTAAACCCTAAACCCTAAACCCTAAACCCTAAACCCTAAACCCTAAACCCTAAACCCTAAACCCTAAACCCTAAACCCTAAACCCTAACCCTAAGAGCTAGAATACCTGAACCCTAAACCCTGAACCCTAAACCCCAACCCAAAACCTAAAAGTGGCCTTCATGGACTTGCCGCTGTCATAGCCCTGTAGCTGAAGGCTCCCTTCCTGGGAAACGCTGGCTTGCACAAAGGGTTTAGGGTTTTGGGTTTGGATTTTACAGTTTAGGGCTTGGGGTTTAGGGTTTAGGGTTTAGGGTTAAGCATCTCAAGTCCAAGCATTCACTAGTCAGGAAATTACTCCAGAAAAATACCCACCTGCCCGAAGAATCCCACAACATTAAGAAAATATTTCACTTCTGGAACGACCTTGCCCAGTAAAAAAATGACCTTGCCCAGTAAAAAAATGACCTTGCCCACTAAAAAAAGGACCTTGCCCAGTAAAAAATGGCCTTGCCCAGTAAAAAAATGACCTTGCCCAGTAAAAAAAATGACCTTGCCCAATAAAAAAATGACCTCCTTGCCCAGTAAAAACAATGACCTTGCCCAGTAAAAAAATGACCTCGCCCAGTCAAAAAATGACCTTGCCCAGTAAAAAAATGACCTTGCCCAGAAAAAAATTGACCTTGCCCAGTAAAAAAATGACCTTGCCCAGTAAAAAAATGACCTTGCCCAGAAAAAAAATGACCTTGCCCAATAAAAAAATGACCGTGCACAGTAATGACCTTGCCCAGTAAAAAAAATGACCTTGCCCAGTAAAAAAATGACCTTGCCCAGTAAAAAATGACCTTGCCCAGAAAAAAATGACCTTGCCCAGAAAAAATTGGCCTTGCCCAGTAAAAAAATGACCTTGCCCAATAGAAAAATGACCTTGCCCAGTAAAAAAATGACCTTGCCCAGTAAAAAAATGACCTCGCCCAGTAAAAAAATGACCTTGCCCAATAAAAAAAATGACCTCCTTGCCCAGTAAAAACAATGACCTTGCCCAGTAAAAAGATGACCTTGCCCAGTAAAAAGATGACCTTGTCCAGTAACATTTTTACTGGGCAAGGTTAATTTTTTCTGGGCAAGGTCATTTTTTTACTGGGCAAGGTCGTTTTTTTGGACGAAACGACCTTGCCCAGTAAAAAAATGACCTTGCCCAGTAAAAAAAATGACCTTGCCCAGTAAAAAAAATGACCTTGCCCAGTAACTCCTTAACATTTAAATTATATATGAAAGAGAGGTTTAGGGTTTAGGGTTTAGGGTTTAGGGTTTAGGGTTTAGGGTTTAGGGTTTAGGGCTTGGAGTTTAGGGTTCAGGGCTTTTTCGTTTGGGGCTTATATAGGGAGTTTGGGAGGCAAGGCTCCGGTTATTAAGGGCGTAGGGTGTGGGCTAGGGGCTTTCAGAGGTTTAGCTCAGGTTCTGTGGTTTCTTGGGTATGAACCCTAAACCCTGTAACCCTGTAACCCTAAACCCTAAACCCTAAACCCTAAACTCTAAACCCTAAACCCTAAACCCTGAACCCTGAACCCTGAACCCTGAACCCTGAACCCTTCGAGCTGCCTTGCATCCGAGGCTCGGCCGGGCCAAGGAACAGCAAGACCTGCATCTAAGGCGTCTGGGGGCTCCAAGATCCGGACCATCTTGGGGTTTAGGCCTTAGGGTTTGGGGTTTGGGGTTTGGGGTTTAGGGTTTAGGGTTTAGGGTTTAGGGTTTAGGGTTTAGGGTTTAGGGTTTAGTGTTTAGGGTTTAGGGTTTAGGGTTCAGAGGGCCACTGTTCTAGCATTCACTAGTCATTATGGGGCTCCAGGCTTAGCAACAAACGCACTCACCCAAAGAATCCCATAACATTAAGAAAGATAAAGTTCGCTCAAGAACGGCGCCGACGCAACAAAAATGGCTCAAGAATGGTGCCGATTGCACCAAAAAGTGCTCAACAACGGTGCCGATGGCACCAAGAAGTGCTCAACAACGGGGCGGGGGTAAATGCACCAAAAAGTTAATAGGGTTTTAAATCTATAAGGATAGAGAGGGTTTAGGGTTTAGGGGTTTAGGGTTTAGGGTTTAGGGTTTAGGGGTTTAGGGTTTAGGGTGGGGTTAGGAGTTTTGGGTGTAGGGGTTCAGGGGCTTGGGTTTAGGTCTTCGGGAAGGCAAAGCGACTGGGCACGGCAGATGGGCTGCGCCAAGAATGAGGCAGCTTTGCTTTGGACAGGGAACCCTTTGGGCCTTCCCTGACCTGGCAAATCCCAGGCATGAAGAAGAAAGCCGGCTGAAAATAAAGCCTTGACAAGTCCCAAACCCTAAACCCTAAGCCCTAAACCCTGAACTCTAAACCCTAAACCCCAAGCCCCAAACCCCAAACCAAACCCGTGCCCCGAAGCTCGAAGCCCTTGATTCCAGGCCTGACAGACCTGCCGGCTGTACAAATCCGCCCAGTACGGAGCTGACTCCTCCGAGAGCTCCTCAGGGCAGAGGCTCACAGTTTAGGGTTCAGAGTTTAGGGTTTAGGATTTAGGGTTTAGGGTTTAGGGTGGAGGGCGTAGGGTGCAGGGCTTAGGGTTGAAGAGTCCAGGGTTTAGGGTTTAGGCCTTGGGCCTGGGCCTTAAGATGGTTTGGGGGTGCGTCGGGCTCTCAACCTCGAAGCCCTAGCATAGTTTTTGCATACTTGCTATCGTAACTGCACAAAGCTTCCAAAACTCCAAAACACTAGCAATATTAAACCCTAAACCCTAAAACCCTAAACCCTAGAACCCAAAACGCTAAACCCCAAACCCGCAGACGCTCAACTCAACCCGACGCCCGGATGAAGGGGAGACACGGCTTCTGCCGTAAAGTCCTTAAGTCCTCAACCCTAAACAACCGCAACCGCAGTAGGGTTTAGGGTTTAGGGCTTGGGGTTTAGGGTTTAGGGTTTGGGATTTGGGGTTTAGGGTTTAGGGTTGAGGGTTGAGGGTTGAGGGTTTAGGGTTTAGGGTTTTGTGTCCAGTGGGCCCGCAACTTAATGTTCCCATGGCAGATCGCAATGACCTTTCCACCCCCAAAGCCCTAAGCCTTAAGCCAACCCTCAACCCTGCAAACCCCGGAAGCCCTCAGAGGATAGTTTACGGTGCCCAGAAAAAGGCCCCGGCATTTTGACCAACGGTTCCCCAACCCACCCAGCTGCATCCCTGAAACGTGTCCTGCACCCGAAACATGCGCGTTGAGGGTCTTACACTTGGTAGCCCTGTAACCATCTTTCAATAAGGGCACCCTCTTTTCGGCTGGCTACTGTAAAAGGGAACCCCAGAACCAAAAAAAAAGGGGAGAAGGGTACCGCTGGGCTACCAAGTACAGTTTTTAGTAAGGCGCCGGCCTCCAGAGCCGGTGTGAGGGAGAGGGGCGTACATGCCTTCCAGGGAGCAGGAAGGATCTCACGCGCACCGACGGGGCTCTACTGAAGCAGGGCAGCAAGCCTCTCGCGCCACGTTTCGGAAAGCAATTTAAAAAAAAAAACACTGCTCAGCACCTAACCCGAGAAACAAAGGTATGTGACTCGTGAAGGCGTCTTTTCGTTTTTTGGTTGTTCCTGAACCCTGAGCCCTGAACCCTGAACCCGGAACCCTGAAACCTAAACCCTACACCCTTAAACCCCAAAAACACCCTAAAACCCAGCTAGCTCCAGACGATGACCTCCAGCAGCAGCGGCTCAGCGACGACCAGCGTGGACGAGACGAGTCCTTCACCTCAGGGTTGTTTACTACTCATACCGGGGGGAGGGGGGGGGGGGGTGAGCCAAAATTGAGAAGACCTCCACAAGCGTTGGGGTTTAGGGGTGCTGTACTAGGCTTTGTGCAGCAAATCCGAGGGCCGCTGTGGGTATTGAGGACCTGGGAATAATCGGATGACTTTACACTTTACGCCTACGACTTTTCTAAGGAGTCTATGACAGAAGGCATCTGCGCGCTGAAGCTGCTGCTGGAGAGGGCAAGGGCATCTAGACCCAACAGCAACACTGGACTGGGGTCTGGAACATGTGGATCTTTCTAGGACCTAAACACCCCTAAACCCTAAACCCCTAAACCAAAACCCCGAAAGCCTAAACCCCTAAACCCTAACCCTACACCCCTAAACCTACACCCCCAAACTCTGAACCCCGAAACCCCTCAACCCTAAACCCCTAAACCCTAAACCCCAAACTGAAGCGCCGGCTCAGGAGGTCGTGGCAAAGCTCTGCAGCCCACTCCGTCAGGGCCTGAAGCGCTGGGAGCTCCTGGCGACCACGGCCAGCAGGTCCCGGTTCGGGGTTTGGGGTTGAGTGTTTAGGGTTTAGGGTATAGGGTTTAGGGTTTAGGGCTTAGGGTTTAGGGTTCAGGGCTAGGGTTTAGGGTTTAGGGTTTAGGGTTTAGGGTTTAGGGTTTAGGGTTTAGGGTTTAGGGTTTAGGGTTTAGGGTTTAGGGTTTAGGGTTTAGGTTAGGGTTTAGGGTTTAGGGTTTAGGGTTTAGGGTTTAGGGTTTAGGGTTTAGGGTTTAGGGTTTAGGGTTTAGGGTTTAGGGTTTAGGGTTTAGGGTTTAGGGTTTAGGGTTTAGGGTTTAGGGTTTGCCAAACGGGAGCGCGCTTTGGGAGCGTGCGGTAGTCTGCAGACCTACCCACCCCAAGACCGCCCACTTTAGGGTTTGCCAAACGGGAGCGCGCTTTGGGAGCGTGCGGTAGTCTGCAGACCTACCCACCCCAAGACCGCCCACTTACAACTCTCAAGGAGTTAAGACCTTTTATTTTTTTTTACAAAGCATCACATGAGTCACTCGCGCCCTTTTTGGGGATTTCCACAAGGTGCGTGGACCAGGCGCAAAGCTGCAGCAGACGGAAACGAGGCAGGGCCCGTGAAGACAGCTTGGGTTGGCGCGAAGGGGCTATGAAGGGATGGGCCAGGAACAGACAAAGGCAGCAAGGCTTGGTTGGCGCGAAGGGGCTCCAGCCAGGAAGAACACACAGTGAACAGCTTGGGTTGGGCAGAGCGCCACGGAAACAGGGCTGGTGTGGCGGATAGCTTGGCTCGGCGCGAAGGGGGGGGTGCCGGGCCAGGGTCAGGACCAGGCACAAAGTTGCAGCAAACGGCAGCGAGGCAGGACAGATTGGGTTGGTGCGAAGGGGCGAAAGCCAGGGAGAGCACCGGAAACAGGACACACAAACCGGTGCGCGGACAGCTTGGCTTGGCGCAAGGGGGCAAGATGACTCGAACAGGCCAGAGGCCAGGGCCAGGCCAGCCAGGGCCAGCGCACAAGGCCAGGGTGGGCCGAGGGCCGGCGGGGCCAGGGCCAGGCCAGGGCCAGGCCTGGAACAAAGCAAGGGCCAGACCAGGGCCAGGGCCAGGGCCAGGGCCAGGGCCAAGGGCTAGGGCGAGGCCCAGAGCCAGGACCAGGATTAGAGGCAGGGTCAGGGCCAGGGCCAGGGCCAGGGAGGGCCAGACCCGCAAGGCAGGGGCAGGGCCAGAGACCAGAGCCAGTGCCACAGCCTTGCCTGCCCCAACAAAACGGCCCCTTGGTCCCGGATCAGCGCTTGGGGACCCAGGGTCTCCAGGGGCCTTCCCAGGGGGCCTCCACTGCAGGAGCCAAGAAGGTGCGCGGACAGCTTGCAGTTTAGGGTACTGTAATATAATACCGTGACAACTGCTGTCTAGGCCTGTGCCTGCCTAGGGGGTAAGCCTGCCTGGAGGCCAGCTCGGTCGCCCGCCTGGGGCTCCCTCGCAGGGTCTCACTGAGCGCTCGACCAGCGCCCGCCCACCCCAAAAGACAAGAGAGTGGGGTGGCGGGCGGGTTTGGGGTTTGGGGTTTAGGGTTTAGGGTTTAGGGTTTTCTAACAACCCTGTGCACCTTTTCTAGTGCAGGCCACTGGCCAGGGTAGCCAACTTTCCGGGATTTAGGGTGCAGGGTTTAGGGTTTAGAGTTTAGGGTTTAGGGTTTAGGGTTTAGGGTTTAGGGTTTAGGGTTTAGCGTCTAGGGTTTAGGGTTTAGCGTCTAGGGTTTAGGGATTAGGGTTTAGGGTTTAGGGTTTCGGGTTTGTCTCTGGGCTGTCGGGGTCTTGCAGCCCTCCCTTTTGCATCCAGGGCTCTTGGGCCTGGTGCACCCTAGAAGTTGGGATGGTTCCCCCTTATGCTAACCGTCCTTCATAGGGGTTGTCATAGGGAAGCACGACCATCCCTACTAAGGACCGTTAGCATAAGTTCAGGTTCCGTGTTCCGGGTTCCCCAGGCTACTCTAGACCCAGGAGCAACCTAGGAATGAAAAAGGGTGCCCCTTTGTGGTCTCAAGGGGCTTTAGAAGGGAACGGAATCCCCCCCAAAAAACAGAGAGAAGAAGGGCCTACTCTGGGTTCTAGTACTTCAGCAACGGAGCATCATGTTTGGGGTCACTCCTGATCGCCGTCAGCGGTCAGTTCTCGGATCGGTGCGACCTGGCGCACGCGCCATCTGTCTAACTCTGAATGCTCAACACTGCTGGCGGAATGCAAATATAGGAGCCGAATCCGCAGATACTGAAGGACAAAAGCTTGTCCTACTATCCCCTTACAACCCCATTGAAAAACGACAAAAACACTTGCATTGAACAGGCCCCCAAGCCCTAAACCCTCTTCACACTTCTTGCTCTTCCGGGTGGTGGAGGCTGCAAACCCCGAAACCCAAAACAAGGCGCCCAGGAACTGAGGCAAGGGAAACTTGGACCTCGGGGCTTATTCCGACTTAAGCGTTAGGGTTTAGCGTTGAGGGTTTGGATTTCGCCAAGTCCTTAAAGCAGCAAGGCTTAGCGAGACGAAAGCAAGCCGGGCCAGGCCAAGGATGTTTGAAATACATGTATATATATATATATATATATGTATATATATATATATATATAGATAGATAGATATACATGTTTATATTTATATTTATATGTATATATATATATATATATATATATATATATATATATTTATATTCATATTTATATTTATATGTATATTTATATTTATATGTATATGTATATTTATATTTATATATATCTTTTATTTATTCATTTTTCGCATTTATTTGTAATTTCATATTTATATATTTACTTATTTATTTTACGATAAAAATACTTTATGTATACATATACATACATAGAATACCTGCTAAACATTATGGGGTGTAGGGTCAAAGGTCTCGAGCTTGGGGTTTGAGGTCTCCATGCGTTTGGGTGTTTCCGCAATCTGGAGCCCCCATGTACCACAACACACGATACTTCAACCAGGGCCTGCTGCGTCCCCTCATCGCCCAGAAGGCCATCAGCGATGCAGACCTGCCGGTGCGCTGTTCTGGGTTTGGTTTAGGGATTCGGGTTCAGGGTTCAGGGTTTGGGGTTTTCTTTTTGGGTAGCTATGACAATGCGGGCTGCTAGATGTGCCCAGAGGGACCATAACTTTGAACACGCCAACCACGAACGCTCACTGCAGGAGTTGGGATTGAAGCTATACCCATCAATTCATGCCGCATGCCGTATCCAGAGAACACCCGACACTGTTTCGCAAGCCGCAAGAAACCTGAACAGCACACCCGACATCCATAACATGCCGGCCCCCGCCAAAGCAATTAGCTCCGCATTAGCCCCAAAAGGGAACGAAGTTTAGGAAACTGCCCTTATTAGGGCTTTCCAAAATTTGGAACGACCAGGTGCCTTGTGGTCATAGGCTGTCGGAGGTGCTCGCAGAAGCCTCCAACAGGTCTTTTGCGGGAGCAATGGCTGGTGTATCTACCTGCGTCTCAAGGTACGGGGTTAGGGAAGGATCTATTGGCTGGTTCTTAGTAGGAATGAGGGAATGAGGTACCCTACATAATACAGGTATATATAGGGCCCTAATTCCCTCATTCCCTACTAAGAATCAGGGGGTGTCGGTCGCCTTAAGTGTAGCAACTCGCCCCGCCCCCAGGCCCTCCGGGCCTCGGCGGCAGTCGCAAAGCCTGGCGGCAAAGGGGGAGACAGGTGTGCTTGAAGATTCCTGTGTTCTTATACGTATAGTGATCAATGAGGAACTCCTCACCCTGAAACTCCCCCAAAACCCCAAACCCCAAACCCCAAACCCTAAACCCTCATAATCCATACCAGTTTCTAGCTTGCAGCGCTTGGCAACTTCCGGGCGTAGACGTTCGGTTCCAGAGGTCCGAACGGATTCTAGGTAAGGATTCTGGGGTTTGGTGCTTAGGGTTTACGGTTTACGCTTTTAGGCCACGACCTGACTGCGGCAAGCTTAGAGGGTGTGAATACACGGCAAAAGAAATGCCCAACCCTTACAGTACCACCCGAAGACATCCTAATACCCTAAGAACCTAAGGCTTTGTGGCCAAATTGCCTGAACCCCTTCCAGATGTCGGGCTTAGGGGCTTCTCAACCCCAAACACCCCAGGACCCCCAAAGCCCTAAAACCCCAAACCCCTCAAACCACCCCCCAAAAGCCTAAAGCCCCAAAACTCCCAAAACCCTAACACCCTCAAATCCCCCAAAGCCCTCAAACTCCCTGGGGCTTAATCCCAGTTGCTCAATCCTAGTTCCTGAATCCTAATTCCTACATCCTAAGTCCCAGTTCCTAAATCCTAGTTCCTTAATCCTAAATCCTAAACTCTAAACCCTAAACCCTAAACCCTAAACCCTAAACCCTAAACCCTAAACCCTAAACCCTAAACCCTAAACCCTAAACCCTAAACCCTAAACCCTGTCCTAAATCCAGGGTCGCGAGGCCTCCTTGGAGGCCCTTGCGCAGGTGGCCGACAGTGGGGCTGCGACGTCCAACACTGCCAGGCCTGAGTGGATTAGGGTTTAGGGTTTAGGGTTTAGGGTTTAGCCTTGAGGGTTTAGGGTCTAGCGCACGCCCGCAAGGTGTTCCGTGCTATCCTGCTCAACGTTGGCGCAGCGGCCTCCACGTCGCACAAGGACCACAAGTCCTGAGCTCGGCCATCGGATTTCCGGCTGAGAACCCAACGCATGCCCATGATGTCTTGTGGACCGGCACGCTGCTTACCGCGCCACGTTCGATACTTCCACTGCATGCGCCTCGTCGAATTCTCACCTTCTCCTTCTCGGATAGGTGTCGCCAGTACACCTCCTTTGATTTCTCTTGCATCTTCTGGCTCAGCCATATCGCCACCTCCTTGGGTTTCGGAAGCAATCTTTGAAGGTCCATTTTGCGGACCTCGATCTCGCACTGAGAGCCGATGAAGTGCGAGCCTCAACCTTGGTCTCGACTCGATCTCGCACTGAGAGCCGATGAAGTGCGAGCCTCAACCTTGGTCTCGACTCTTCAGGGTTTAGGGTTCAGGGGAGTTATAAGTAGGGTTCTAAGTACCCTAGTTGAAGTTCTGAAATATGTTGCCTTACCCAGAACCCTGCTTAAACCCTAAACCCTAAACCCTGTAGGGTTTGGGGGCCTAGCCATGAGCCTTCCGCACAAGGGGGGGGGGGGGGGGAGGTGGAAAGAACTCCGGCACTTGAAGGTTCATGGGTAGCCATAGGGTTTAGGGGTTAGGGTTTAGGGTTTAGGGTTTATCTTTCGAAAATTCAGGTCCTTATACACTACCTACAGCTCGCCATGGACCTTCAGGTGGGCTTTGTTTTTTCAGGGCTGTTTAAGCCCTGTTTCAGACTCCCGTAGTCCCCTATGCGCTTCAGGGTGTAGGGTTTATAGGGTTTTGGCTGTAGGGCTCAAGAATAAACTTAACAGGATGCAAGTCTGCAAAACCCTTTTCATCACCACTAATCCTTGAAATTCTGGTTTGCGGGTTTATGGTTTAATTTTGGGGTTTAGGGTTGAGGTGGCTTCTCAACTGCAGGCTTAGCTGGCGCAGCCAACACCGAACCGAAAGCTCTCAAGGCGAAAGACAGAAGCCCGACTGTTGCGCTGCATGACCCCCTCTAGGCTTCAGGGTTTAGGGTTTTGGGTTTAGGGTTCCCCCCCCGCTCACCCCCCAAAGCTTAGACCCTTAAACCCTCACACCCCTTAAACCTTTCTAACCTAAAGCCCTAAAACCCTCAGCCCCAAACCCTAAACCCCAAACACCAAAACCTAAACCCTAAACCCCAAACCCTAAACCCCAAACCCCAAAACCCCAAACCCCAAACCCTAACCCCAAACCCCAAAACCCTAAACCCCAAATCCCAAGAGGCCCTTCGGCCTTGTCCAGCAAGGCTCTCGGCAGCCTGGTGCAGCGCCCCAGGGCTGCCGAGGGGCAACTCGCACTTCACCTTAAGGGTTTGGGGGGTTTAGGGCTTCGGGTTTAGGGCTTCGGGTTTAGGGTTTAGGGTTTGGGGTTTGGGGTTTGGGGTTTAGGCTTGAGGCTTTGGGCTTTAGGCTTTAGGCTTTAGGCTTTAGGCTTTAGGCTTTAGGCTTTAGGCTTTAGGCTTTAGGCTTTAGGCTTTAGGCTTTAGGGTGTAGGCTTTGGGGTTGACAGTGCAGGGTGTAGGGTTTGGAGGTCTAGGGTTTTAGGGTTTTGGTGTGTAGGTACTTGGGCTGCAAGGCCCCTGGAGCTCGAGCGTTGGCAGCATGGGCTACCCAAAAGAAGATCAAAGATGCTTTCCACCACCCCCCAAACACCGTAGCTAAAGCCCCTAAAGCCCCTTAAAGCCCTAAAGGCCCTAAAGCCCCTAAAGCCCCGAAAGCCCCTGAAACCGAAAGATCCTGGGCCCTAATATCTGCCCTGACCACCAAACCCAGAGCCCTACACCCCTGAAAAGACGGCCTGAACCCCTGACACCCCTCAACCATCGGCCTGCTCCATAGCCCATGGCCAGAAAGCTCGCTTCACATTTTTCGCCAAACAAGTAAGGTGCAGTTGAGGGTTCTGGGGCTTTCAGGCTTAGGGTTCTTTGGGTTCTTAGGGCTCTTAGGGCTCGTAGGGGTTCTTTAGGCCCTTAGGCCTCTTAGGGTTCGTAGGACTCTTGAGGTTAGGGTTTAGGCTTTAGTGTTGAGGGTTTAGGGTCTAGTGTCTTGGGGTTCAGGGGTCTATCTAGGGTTCAGGGGCTTAGGCTTCGGGGTTGCAACCCTAAACCCTAAACCCTGGGTTGAGCGCCTGAATGGTTTAGGGCCTTCGGCTTTGGGCGCTGGGACCCTGAGCCGGTCAGCCAAATCCCATGAGCCACAAGTGCAGAACTCAGGGTTACCCCCAAGCCTCTAAAGAAGGGTCGGTCATGTCATGTCTGTGAGGGGGTGTGTGGCCGAACGCAAGCTGCGCTGCTTGAACCCAGGATGCCATCTTTTAGGGTTTAGGGTACAGTATGGATGCAAGATCCAAGGTGACTGACCAAGAAGGGGGCTGTAGGTGAGGAAAGGACTCTCAGCGTGGGGGGTCAGAACAGATGCATCGTTGTGCTGCAGGAAACTCATAACCTCTCTGCCTTGCCACAAGAGCAGGGTTTAGGGTTTAGGGGTTAGGGTGTAGGGTTTAGGGTTTAGGGTTTGGGTTTTGGGTTTAGGGTTTACGCAATGCGGAATGTTTTTGGCACCTTCCGGCAGGTCGAGTCGTGCGAGGCTGATGTTGATGCCACCGCAGGCCATTCGCTACGGTAACTGCCCCCCGACAACTCCAACTCCGTTTCCCACTGCCCCCCCACCCCCCCCCCCGCCCCCCCCCCCCCCCCCCGCCCCCCCCCCCCCCCCCCCCCGCCCCCCCCCCCCCCCCCCGCCCCCCTCCCCCCCCCCCCCCCCCCCCCCCCCCCCCCCCCCCCCCCTCCCCCGCCCCCCCCCCCCCCCCCCCCCCCCAACCCCCCAAAACCAAAAACCCTAAACCCTAAACCTAAACCCAAAAACCCTAAACCCCACCATCCCCCAACACCCCGCACCCAGACGTCCTCGCCGCCCCTAACGCTTGGAGGAGGCACCACGGGCTTTGGGGCACGATGCCCTAAACCCTAAACCCTAAACCCTAAACCCGAAACCCGAAACCCTAAACCCTAAACCCTAACTCCAACGGCTCTTCAGCTTGCGGCCACCTCCAGAGAGAGAAGGGGCCGAAAGGATCTTCTGGGCTTCCGGATTCAGGGGGTTCAGTTCTTGTGTTTCGGTTTGGGCTTTAGGGTTAGGGTTTAGGGTTAGGGGTTCGGGCTTAGGGCTTAGGGCTTAGGGCTTCGGGTGTGGGGCTTGATAGTAACAATATGGGGAGGTCTCCAAAATTCGGGATACCTTTTGGCATCCTTACTATACAGGAATCCTGGAATCCTACTCTATAGTAAGGGCCCCTGATTTTCGGAAACACCCTCTGAGAGTCCGTGGTTGGGGCCGGATTACGTGTACTGTGTTCAGGGGAAGGTGCTGGGGTTTGCGGGAGCGGCTCCACGCCCACAACCAGCCCAAACCCAAAACCCTGAAACCCTGAAACCATGAAACCCTGAAACCCTAAAACCCTGAAACCCCAAAACCCTGAAACCCCAAAACCCTGAAATCCTGAACCCCTGAAACCCTAAAACCCTGAAACCCCAAAACCCTGAAATCCTGAAACCCTGAAACCCTAAAAGCAACCCCATGCCGCTGTCTTTGAGTGGCTGGTCAGGCCCTCAGGGGGGAGCCCTCAAAGGTTCTTCAGAGGCTCCGAGGAGGGTGGGACTTCGGTTCCTGCGGTTCCCTCGATCATCCCTTTGACGGTTCATTTTGGGGGAGCCAGGGTTTAGGGTCTAGGTTCTAGGGTTTAGGGTTTAGGGTTTAGGGTTTGGGGTTTAGGGTTTAGAGTTTAGGGTTTGAGGGCCGAATCTCTTGCTGAGTACTACGCTAAACCCTAAACCCTAAACCCGAAACCCTAAACCCTAAACCCGAAACCCTAAACTCGAAACCCTCACAGTGCTACACTCGGTAAAGCCTGGGCAGAGCAATCCTTGAAGCGCACACAGCTCACAGCCGTGTTGGAGGCTGAAGGTCGCTAATCTAAACGAGCATCTGAGGAGTCTTCGAAGCTGCCACTTGCTTAAGAACCCACAAAAGTCTCAAAATGTTCTTCCTTCTAGGGTTTATATAGGAATCATTCTACTTCATTTTTTGTAGGGTTCTTAAGCAGCAAATAGTAGCAAGTGTGTATACTGTGGCTCCTTTTCCCTCTGTATGACCCTATCTCGGAGCATCTAACATCGCCTTCTTGAGTCGGGGTCTTGTGGGACAGAGGAGTCATTCTTTCTAAGGAGACACTCGTTTCGAACAACATGAAGCCCTGAGCCCTAAACCCTAAACCCTAAACCCTAAACCCGAAACCCTAAACCCCAAGTCCTAAGTCCTAAGTCCTAAACCCTAAACCCCAAGTCCTAAGTCCTAAGTCCTAAGTCTAAGTCCTAAGTCCTAAGTCCTAAGTCCTAAACCACGTCGGGATGCTCAGGCGGCTCAGTAGCGCACGCAGACTCCGCGGAAAAGGCAAAGACCAAGTCCGCTCTGGAGCCTGGAGGCCTACAGTGTTGGGGTTTAGGGCTCAGGGTTTAGGGTTTAGGGTTTAGGGTTCAGGGTCTGTCGCGGCTGACACTTCGTATACTTTCCCAGACTTGTCCTACACCCTAAACCCGAAGCCCTTTAAAACCCCAAATCCCAAGCCCTCCAGCCCCCGAACCCTAAACCCTAAACCCGAAACCCGACACCTGCCATCGACTCGGAGGAAAAGGCGAAGCCAGCTACCACACGCAGCAGCAAGCAGCACACGATGAAGGGAGCACCATGACCTCTTTGGGGTTGAGGGGTGGAGGTGTGTAGGGGTCTAGGAGTTCAGGGTTTGGGTTTGGGGTTTAGGGTTTAGGGTTTAGGGTTTAGGGTTTAGGGTTTAGGGTTTAGGGTTTAGGGTTTAGGGTTTAGGGTTTAGGGTTTAGGTTTTAGTGTTTAGGGTTTAGGGTTTAGGGTTTAGGGTTTAGGGTTTAGGGTTTAGGGTTTAGGGTTTAGGGTTTAGGGTTTAGGGTTTAGGGTTTAGGGTTTAGGGTTTAGGGTTTAGGGTTTAGGGTTTTGGTTTTAGGGTTTAGGGTTTAGGGTTTAGGGTTTAGGGTTTAGGGTTTAGGGTTTAGGGTTTAGGGTTTAGGGTTTAGGGTTTAGGGTTTAGGGTTTAGGGTTTAGGGTTTAGGGTTTAGGGTTTAGGGTTTAGGTGTTAGGGTTTAGGGTTTAGGGTTTAGGGTTTAGGGTTTAGGGTTTAGGGTTTAGGGTTTAGGGTTTAGGGTTTAGGGTTTAGGGTTTAGGGTTTAGGGTTTAGGGTTTAGGGTTTAGGGTTTAGGGTTTAGGGTTTGGGATTGCCGGCGTAGGGCTCGGGGCTCTTAAACGCCGGCCGTCTAGCTGCCCACACGTGCCCATGTCCAGGTTAGCACCAGAAACAGCTGCCCAAGCCATGCTTGGGCAGCGTATTCTACTTGGAGGTTCATATGGCTCTAAGTACAGTTCTAAGTACAGTTATACTTGGTTAATACGTACCATGACCCTCCAAGTAAGTCATGCGAAGAGAAAAGTGCGCACGGCTTAACCACAAAAAAAACTTCAAAGAAACCCTCGATGTTTCCATGAGATGGTGGCTTCGGGGACTCCAGGATTTCTGTGTTAGTAGGGCTTAGGATTCAAGTGGAGGCTACGGATTCAGGGTTTGCAATGGTGTGGAGCTTAGGGCTGCAAGGCTTTGGGGTAGTAGGGCTCAGTAGAACGATTTTTGGGGGGCCTCACACCCTTCTTCTTTAGAAGGCAATGCTGAGTCCGGCACCCACATACCAGCATAGGCCGTTGAGGATGTCGACCCCGTAGGAAGCTGCCAGCGACCAGAATCGGCGTGCTCCCCTTACCAGCAGCCGCGTCCTGGGTGGAACCCATGCCTTCTCATGGGACTACCTTGGACCCCCAAAGGTTGCACCCTCGGGTTTGGGACCCCTAAAGGTTGCACCCTTGGGTTTAGGACCCCTAAAGGTTGTACCCTTGGGTTTGGGACCCCCCCTTTCTAACATTCTCTTAGGGGAATGCGCTGAGCTCAGCCTGAGCCCGAGAAGATGAAACGAAAAAGCGCGTCATGGAGTTTGGGCCCCTCCGCGAGACATTCTGAAGTTCAGGGTTTATGGTAAATTAGGGCTCCTTTTTGGGGGATTTTTCTAACAGGGTGCCGCCTTATCATGGCTACCCAAAAAAGAGCCCCTAACTTAGAGAACTACCCAACTGGCTTGCCTAAAGCAACCCTCTCTTACAAACGGCTCCACCCAACAACTAATGTAACTCTCTTGGCTATGAGGCAAAGCGTGCACTCTGTGTAAGGGTTCGCCTCTGGCCGTCGGTTCTACACACAGGATTTAAGGTTTGGGCCTAAGTTAACTTACGTACATGGTCCCTTATAGTATGGGCCCTTACATGGAGACCCCCTTATATAACCCTTATTTTGCCCAAAAACACCCAAAACCCCATACTTCAGAACCCTTTAAGTAAGGTAAGGGAGCATATTAAGGGACTCTATAGCTACCCTTAGATTGGGGCTTCGGTTCGAGGGCTTAGGGTTGAGGGTTTAGGGTTTAGGGTTTAGGGTTTAGGGTTTAGGGTTTAGGGTTTAGGGTTTAGGGTTTAGGGTTTAGGGTTTAGGGTTTAGGGTTTAGGGTTTAGGGTTGTCTCCCAAGGCTCGTGGCACCTGCAGCAGGATGCTAGTCCGCGTCGGGCAGCAGCTGAATACCGCCCTGCCACAGGGTAAGTGCTCCCTTTCTGTCTTCCCTTGCGTCTAGGAAAAACCCTAACCCTAAACCCTAAACCCCCAACCCTAAACCCCAAACCCTGACCTAATACCCCCAAGAAGTAGGCAGCCCTCCCCCCCCGGCCGGAATTCGACTCCGGAACCGGGTGCGTGAATTCCTCAAGGGGTATTTCCTCATACCTAAGTAGCCGGAAATAACCCCCAAATGACCACCCTAAACCCCTAAACCCCTAAACCCCTAAACCCCTAAACCCCTAAACCCCTAAACCCCTAAACCCCTAAACCCTAAACCCTAAACAACCCCTAAGGTCCCTCCTTTAGTCCCTTGAAGTTCCGGGCCTCGCGAAAGCAGCCGGCTAACTGGACCTGCAGCTGGAAGCTTTTGACGAGCGCCCCGCGGATGGAGAGGCCTCCGGCTTGCCAAGCTGAGGGTTTAGGGTTTAGGGTTTAGGGTTTAGGGTTTAGGGTTTAGGGTTTAGGGTTTAGGGTTTAGGGTTTAGGGTTTAGGGTTTAGGGTTTAGGGTTTAGGGTTTAGGGTTTAGGGTTTAGGGTTTAGGGTTTTGGGTTTTTAGGGTTTAGGGAACTACTTGGAGGATCCGGGGGGAGTAAGCAAGTAGGTACAAAGTACAGCTTCAAGTGCCCTAAGACTTAACAACCCTACTCTAGTAACTACTTACAAGTCCAACGATCCGCCAAGCTGGGTCTCAAAGCCTTCATCCCTACACCTTGAACCCAAAATTAACCACCCTAAACCCTAAGCCCTAAACCCTCAACCCTAAACCCTAAACCCTTAACCCTAAACCCCAAACCCTAAACCCGATCCACGCTTCCCGAGCTCCCAAACGGAATGCTGAATTCATGCCAAGGCTCGCTGGCCGCGGAGCTGCTTGGGGCCGTAGGTCCTTCACAAAGGGGCTTGAGGGCTGGGGGGGTGGAAACAGGGTTTAGGGTTTAGGGTTTAGGGCTTGGGGCTTAGGGTTTAGGGCTTAGGGCTGAGGGTTTTAGGGTTTTAGGGTTTCAGGGTTTCAGGGTTTCAGGGTTTCAGGGTTATTAGGGTTTCAGGGTTTCAGGGTTTCAGGGTTTCAGGGTTTCGGGGTTTCAGGGTTTCAGGGTTTCAGGGTTTCAGGGTTTCAGGGTACCATGCTGCAAACAGGCTGCAAGGCAGTTTCGCCCCACAAGCTCCAGCGAGTGCGCCGCGCGCTCTGCCTGCTAGGGCGTTGGTGGGGGTATTTGGGGGGGGGGGGGCGGGGGGGCGAGGGGGGACAATGTCCCCCAAAGAACCCAAGCCTACCCTCGGGTTTAGGGCTTAGGGTTGGTTAGGGTTGAGGGCTAAGGGTTGCAGCATTGAGGGATTTGAGGGTTGGTCTACAGATGTCTACAGCATGTGGTCTCTTGGCATTCCAAGACTGTATGGAATTAGACGATAGTACAAACCCAGTAGGCCAACCAAAGAAACCAACTTAGGGTTTGGGGTTTAGGGTTTGGGGTTTGGGGTTTGGGGTTTCGGGTTCCGGGTTCCGGGTTTCGGGTTTAGGGTTTAGGGTTTAGGGTCTAGAGGGTCACTGTTCTAGCATTCATAGTCATTAGGGGGTTCCAGGCTTAGGAAAAAAACCACCCGCCCAAAGAATCCCATAACATTACGAAAATATAAAATTTTCATCCAAGGACTTGCCTTATTCGACGAAGGACTTGGCTTATTCGACGAAGGACTTGGCTTATTCGACGAAGGACTTGGCTTATTCGACGAAGGACTTGGCTTATTCGACGAAGGACTTGGCTTATTCGACGAAGGACTTGACTTATTCGACGAAGGACTTGGCTTATTCGACGAAGGACTTGGCTTATTCGACGAAGGACTTGGCTTATTCGACGAATTCACTGGGGTTTAAATACATATGAAGAGAGGTTTAGGGTTTAGGGTTTAGGGTTTAGGGTTTAGGGTTTAGGGTTTAGGGTTTAGGGTTTAGGGTTTAGGGTTTAGGGTTTAGGGTTTAGGGTTTAGGGTTTAGGGTTTAGGGTTTAGGGTTTAGGGTTTAGGGTTGGGTTACTGTCTTACTAGGAAAAGAGTGAAGTACGTACTTCATATCCCCCCGTACATGACACTTTCAGGGGTTCAAGAGGGCAAGAAACAGCAAGCAAACCCTAAACCCGAAACCCTATTCATTGGGTTAAGGCCCATCGTGGCTTCATAGGGAGGTAAGAGGGTGGCCCATGTTCGTCTTTCTTAGGCTCGAAGGAGACTATGACCGGATGGAAGGGGCGAACCAAACCTATTCATGTGGGGCATGTCCCTAAACCCTAAACCCGAAACCCTAAAACCCTAAAGCCCTAAAACCCTAAAACCCTAAAACCCTAAAACCCTAAAACCCTAACACCCTAAAACCCTAAAACCCTAAAACCCTAAAACCCTAAAAACCCTAAAACCCCTAAAACCCTAAAACCCTAAAACCCTAAAACCCTAAACCCTAAAACCCTAAAACCCTAAAGCCCTAAAACCCTAAAACCCTAAACCCTAAACCCTAAACCCTAAACCCTAAACCCTAAACCCTAAACCCTAAACCCTAAACCCTAAACCCTAAATCCACTCGAACCCCTCAATGATCGGAAGGCGCTCCTCTGAGCCGAGAGCCACACGATGCGCAGCGGCTTCTCGCCGTCCTTCAAGGGGCTAAAGGAGGAAGCCTTATGAGGGACCTTATGGGTTGTTTAGGGTTTAGGGTTTAGGGTTTAGGGTTTAGGGTTTAGGGTTTAGGGTTTAGGGTTTAGGGTTTAGGGTTTAGGGTTTAGGGTTTAGGGTTTAGGGTTTAGGGTTTAGGGTGTAGGGTGTAGGGTTTAGGGTTTAGGGTGGTTAATTTGGGGTTATTTGGGGGCTACTTAGGTATATAGGGACTATATAAGAGATATATAGGGGGTTATAGAGAGGAATAAGATTAGGGGTCCCTTCTAATTAGGGATCCCTCCTTTTACCCCTGCAGTCCTTCATCGTTGTGCATTCTTTTTGTTGTGGGCGGGCGGGGGGAACTTGGGACAGGAATTCCCAAACCCTAAACCCTAAACCCGAAACCCTAAACCGCATTTTTGGGGTTTTGGGGTTTATGAAGGGGCTGGGGGGTTTGGAAGATTCGGGTTAAGGGTGGAGGGAAGGAGTGTTTTGGCTGGGCTTCTTGCTTTAGGGAGGCTACGCTAACCTTAAACCCTAAACCCTAAACCCTAAACCCTAAACCCTAAACCCTAAACCCGAGCCCAAAATCCTTCGTTTGAACGAAGGTGAGTTCGTCCACCTCAGACACGAAGGCGCTGGAGATCGTTACCTTTCGCAGTTAGGGTTTAGGGTTATGGTTGAGGGTTAAGGGTTAAAGGTTAAGGGTTAAGGGTTGGTTAAGGGTTAAGGGTTAAGGGTTAAGGGTTTAGGGCTTAGGGCTTAGGGCTTAGGGTTTAGGGTTTAGGGTTTAGGGTTTAGGGTTTAGGGATCCAGGTTTTGAACCCGCCATAGAGCGTAGTGGTTCTAGGGTTACAGGGGTCACCGCGTTTTTAGGCCAGAGGGCCATAGGCTCATAGGGCTCTGGGTCTAGAGAGTGTACCCTAAACCCTCAACCCTAAACCCCATAACCCCCAAGCCCACACTCATGCTTCAAAGCGAGAACCCTGGAGTGGGGCTTTTGCGCTTGGCTGGTGGGGCTTAGGGTTGAGGGTTTAGGGTACACTCTCTCAGTTTACAGGAGGGTTTAGGCTTTTCAGGGCTTTGAAGGCACATGCTTATGGCATAGGCACCAAAACTCCAGGGGCCAAGTGCTACTCGAGGCAGGGATCTGCATATGAATTGTGTGTGGAACCCTAGACCTTAAAACTGGGTCAAACACTTGGAACCCCACATTCTGGTTCCAGTTCCCGCACACGAAACCCCCAAACCAAGCCAGGACATCAGGGAGCTCGGGTGAGACACCTTTTTTAATGACTTTAATTAATTGAATGAACTTAATTAATTTAAAGCCGAAGATTGGATTTAATTCAACTAGTTTTTTCTGAGCTGCCCCCAATCCCGAAGTTCTATGAGCCGCAGGGCCCAAATCCTGTCAAACGAAGTAGGGAAGGATGCCCCAAACTTCTGGGAAACTCGGGTACTCCTCCTTTTCAGGGTGGTCTCAATATATACGCCGCTTGCATGTTGTAGGAGTTCATGGGGGTGTTGAACTGACTGGAATCCACAGTTCTTCCCCCGTGAAACATACTTTCCACTTCGAAGCCAGAGGGCACAGCGACATGGGACACCTCCAACTCCTCAATCCTCAAGGCCCCGGACACAAACCCCCAAGAACCCTCAAACCGCACAAGCACAACCCCTCCCATAGTCCGGCCCCCCCCCACCCCCCGAAAGTCTCCGGGTTCGGGTGGAAGGCGCTCCTAGAGCACCACCCCTAAACCCTAAACCCGAAACCCTAAACCCTAAACCCTCCTTCCAAGTCGCATAGGCCCCGATGGGCTGCTCCAAGGCCTGACAAAGATGGAAGTTTGCTCAGAGCGACACTCGTCTTGAGGAGCCCTGGGGACTGAGGAGTTGAGGTTGTGGGGTTCGGGGTTTGGGGGGTTTTGAGAGTTTAGGATTTTGAGGGTTTTGAGGGTTTAGGATTTTGAGGGTTTTGAGAGTTTAGGATTTTGAGGGTTTTGAGAGTTTAGGGTTTTGAGGGTTTTGAGGGTTTTGAGGGTTTTGAGGGTTTTGAGGGTTTTGAGGGTTTTGAGGGTTTTGAGGGTTTTGAGGGTTTTGAGGGCTTTGAGGGTTTTGAGGGTTCAGGGTTTATGAACCCTGATGAAACCTAGAAATAGGCCCAACTAAAAACTCTTTAGGGGTTAAGGGCTGATTGAGCTAAAACCGCTGAAGCCGTAAACCCTGAAAACCAAACCCAATCTCTCCCAAAGCTCAAAACCCTGAAACCCAAATCCCTGAACTCAAAAACCCCAAACCCCGAACCTAAACTTTAAGGCTCAGGGTTGAAAGCCTTCAAAGGAAGAACGCAGAGTCAAATCATCAAGCCTAAACTGCACACATACGTACACACCCAAACCCTAGTTTTGGGGTTCGGGGGATCCAGGCCTAAAGGGGCCCCCTAAACCTCGGGTGTGCAGGGATTTCTGGGATGGGCAGGGATTCCTGTGCAGACGCTCTTTGGGCATTTAGGGTTTAGGGTCCCCAGACCCTCAACCCCAGACACCAGCCCAAAAAACCCTCAAACCCCCTACACCCTCAACCCTAAACCCTAAGCCCAAAGACCCCCAAACCCTAAACGCGAAACCCAAAAACCCAGCCTCTGAGAGCTCCATCTCTCTCTTGGCCGCAGACTCCATCGGGGCCGCCTGCAGCCAAGCCCCAGACTCTAACCTAGGGTTTAGGACCCTTACGTTTAGGGTTTCGAGTTACGGGTTTCGGGGTGTAGGGCTCTAAATCCTAAAGTTCGCCTTGGAAAGTCTGCCTGACAAGCAAAAAAGAGACCGGGGACGGCGGAAACCTCGACCCAAAAGTACTCACCCCCAACTTCAGCTCTATCTCCCCCAACTCAATGGCCCCCTGACGGAAGGCTTGCGGTGCAGAGCTTCAAAGTTTAGGCCAACACGCCCAGATTTTGTGTGACCCCAGACCCTAAAACCCTAAACCCTTGTGTGAGTTTTTGGCTTTTGGGATTCGGACCTAGGAACGGAGGGCAGGTTCTGGGGCTGGGCTGTCGAATTTGGGCTTGTAGGAGTTGAAGTTTAGGGCGTGGGCAGTAGGGTCTTCAGGGGGTCAGGGTTTAGGGTTTTTGTAAGGTTGGGTTTTAGGATTTGGGGTTTAAAGTGTCTAGGGATGGCTGTAGAAGTAGTCGCAGGGAGCTACGGAACCAGGAGCCCCACAGTGAGGACTTCGAGTCTCGTTTCAAGGCAAGATACGCACACCTCCCTGGTAGCCCAGTAGCCATCCCTAAACCCTAAACCCTAAACCCTAAACCCTAAACCCTAAACCCTTTTTTTGGTTGGTTACTTTAGTAATAAGGGAACCCAGAACCACAGGAAAAAAAAAAAGGGAAAGGGGTTACCTCTGGGCTACCCAGCCTCTTATATAGCCTTAAAGGCCGCACGATGCGCCCCCTTGCGCAGCCCAAAGACAACCAAACCCTAAACCCTAAAGCCGAAACCCGAAACCCTAAACCCCAAACCCTAAACCCTAAACCCTAAACCCTAAACCCTAAACCCTAAACCCTAAACCCTAAACCCTAAACCCTAAACCCTAAACCCAACCTGAAGGGGCGCCGTGGCGGCCTGCACGAGCCGGATGTCCACTGACGAGGCATCCGTGCAGTTGAGGAAGATCCTTCCGCGCCCGAGGCGCGAAGATCTACTCTTGGGATGTTCTCCCTTAGACTAGCAGTGGGTTTAGGGTTTAGGGTTTAGGGTTTAGGGTTTGGGGTTTAGGGTTTAGGGTTTAGGGTTTAGCGTTTAGGGTTTAGGCTTTTGGGTCTTTAGCAGGATTAGAAAAGGGGGGGGGGGGGGGGTACTAGAATCCCGATTAAGGACTGCTGGTGTAAGGGCGAACATCCCACATCCAGTCTCTTAAGTTGCGGTCATACCAAAAGCATGCTATTTACGGCAGATCTCTGCTATGCAGACTTTACCGACGCTCCTCAACAGCAACCAAGTCAGAATCTAGTATAGTGGGGATATTATAGTATACTTGTATGGGGACGAGAAGGGAATACCATTAGTAATTTGCCCGACTCCTATATTCTAGCATATTTCTCGCGCTTGCGGTCTACATCAGGAGTAAGGCTTCCCGTCGCCGACACATGCACCGGGATGGTGTGCGCTGCAGAACACAGGGAGGTTTAGGTTTGAGCGCTTGGGGTTTAGGGTTTAGGGTTCATCCCAAGGGGCCACCTCGGAAAGATCGCCCATCCTGCTCAGATGCCTTAACATCCTCAGCGTTCACAACGCATGCTTCGGGCCTGCGACTGAAAAATGCGGCCTCGAAGACCCAATCCCCCAAACCAGCACCGTCAGAGTCAAAGCCCGCAGTCAAGATGGACGGTCTCTTGCTCAGCTCAAGCCCCTTCAACCAGCAACCTTTCTGTTTCAATGACCAAGAAAAGAGAAACCCTTAGCCCCCAAAAACCTCCACAAAAACATACTAAATCTCTAAAAACTCCACGGAAGATTGGCACAAAAAACGACGAGGCAAAAAGGAAGAAAAAAAGAAGAAAAACGACGGGAGCCCAAAACCCATCGGACACCAATCATGCCCATCCGCCTCCGGCCCGGGGGAGCGAAGTCCAGGCTTTTGCCCTTCAGGCTGCAGACCTCTCGGTGTGGGCGTTGGGGTGTGCGCATGGCTGTAGGGCTTGGGGGGGGCCTAGGGTTTAAGGGTTTGAGGGTTTTGAGGGTTTTCAGGGGTTGAGGGGTTTGAGGGTTTGAGGGTTGGGTTTGAGGGTTTAGCTGTTCAGGGTTGGGGGTTTGGGGTTCAGGGCAGGTTGAGGGTGCGGCTTCTGTGCTGGGTGAATGAGCGTTCAGGGTTTGAGGCCTGTGGAGTTTGGCTGTATCCGGCTTGCTCTTTGGGCGTTTAAGGTTGATGCTAAGGATTCTGCGGCTTAGGGCTTCGGAGTTGGGATGTCCCCCCTTATTCTAACACCTTCTTGGGGATTCTATTACGGGGTACTATTAGTCCCTATTAAGGACTGCTAGTATAAGGGGAACATCCCAATTTAGGAGTTTCCAAGAACATCCGGAGCTTCATCAGGTGAGGGATCCGCCTCCAAGCCCGAGGCCAGAGCCATCCAACATCCAGAGCTCTCAACAAATACGCAAGTTTCTCCTAGAACCCGAAATTTAGGCTTACCCCGAAACCCTACACCCTGAACCCCAAACCCTAAACCCTAAACTCTAAACCCAAAACCCTAAACCCCAAACCCCTAAACCCTATACCCCCTTCCCCCTACCCAGCCCTCCCCCCGCGCCCCACGCACCCACGCCTGAAAGCCCTTGAGCTGGACCTCGTTTCCCTTGCGGAGGGCGGGATGCCTTGGGTTCACGCAGGGCTTTAGGGGTCCGAGGGCCTAATATTTGGGTTTAGGGTTTAGGGTTTAGGGTTTAGGGTTTAGGGTTTAGGATTTAGGGTTTAGGGTTTAGGGTTTGGGGTTTAGGGTTTAGGGTTTAGGGTTTGGGTCCTTGGCATCTTGGGGGAGTTTGATGCAGCCCGGGGGTTGGCTTGCAGTTGCAAGGGCCCGTTCCTGGCTTCCCTGCCTTTCGACGGCAACAGCAACACACAGCTCGCGCCGTCACGTCTCGCACGCCGACGGAACGCAGCCGCAGAACGCAATGCTGCTGCCGAAGGTGCTCGCGCAGGCTGGAGGCGGCTGTGTCCCAAAACTTGACATCCACCAGCCCGCTGGGATCACCTTTCCGAGGGGTCAGAGAGGCACTTGGGGGTCTCCGAAATAGAGGGTGCCCTTTTTGGGGGTCCCATCATAAGGGGATTCGATTCTATTTGGGGTATATAAGGGGTGCCCCCTATTTTGTGAAGTCCCCTTATTGAATGAATGGTCCTCTGAGGCCTCTAAGAGAGTTGAGGGCTTAGGGCTTAGGGCTTCGGGCTTAGGGCTTAGGGCTTAGGGCTTAGGGCTTAGGGCTTAGGGTTTAGGGCTTAGGGCTTAGGGCTTAGGGCTTAGGGCTTAGGGCTTAGGGTTTAGGCTTTAGGGTTTAGGGTTTAGGGCTTAGGGCTTAGGGTTTCGGGCCTAGGGCTTAGGGTCGCTGGCGCCTACGCGGACGTGGAAGCCCGTCCCCGTCTTGTGGTCGGACCTGTAGACGATCTTGCCTGGGCACCCGAGGGTGCGGAGGAGGCGGAGGGATGGTTTCGGAAGCTTAGGGTTTAGGGTTTAGGGTTTAGGGTTTAGGGTTTAGGGTTTAGGGTTTAGGGTTTAGGGTTTAGAGTTTAGGGTTTAGGGTTTAAGGTTTAGGGAAGAGGCTATAGCAGGTTTAGGCTCAGGGTGTCGGCTTTAGGGTTAGGCCTCGGGGTCTTGGCATCAGGGTCAGGGCTGATGTTGCAAAAGAATCTGGGGCTTTTGGGCGCAGCGGATGTGGGCACTGCGAGAATCACCTTCAGGTCAGGGGGTTTACTCAAAACCAAGGCCCTGCTGCTTTGGGTAGAGCGGCTACTCCCGGGTAAGATTGAGAAAATGGCTAGCCCCTGTGTTTGATTACCGCGTTCTTAAAATTCCGCTATATAGCCCGCGATACGTTGCCGGGCCACTCTCTTTACTGAGTTTTGAGCTGGGGGTGTCGGTTGAGGGCTTTTTACGGGTTTGCCGTCCGGTGTAGGGCAGAATGATCTCTTAATTCGGGTTTTGGGATTTAGGGTTTGTGGCATTTCGGGTTTAGGGTTTAGGCTCAGGGTTGAGGGGGCTTCAGAGCTTCTAGCGGCTAGGGCACGCAAGTCGCGAGGACCTTTAAGCCCAAACTGAACCCCACCCCTCTGCTCCGCCCAGTGTCCACGCAACGGAGTTGTTAGCAGACCCAGCTCGCCCTTCTCTTCCAGCTCCTGCCAGAATTATTTTTTCGGGTCTAGGGTCTAGGGTCTAGGGTCTAGGGTCTAGGGTTTAGGGTTTAGGGTTTAGGGTTTAGGGTTTAGGGTTTAGGGTTTAGGGTTGAGGTTTAGGCTTCAGGCTTTAAAGCTGTAGCTTTAGGGCTTTACGTTTTTGGGGTTTCAGGGGCAAGGCGCAACAAACCTCGTGACCGTAAAGCTTGGACCCAAAGCTCTGCGAGGGCTTCAAGCAGGTCGAGGGTCCAGGGCTTCGGGTGCTGGATTTAGGATTTCGGTTGTGGGGGTCACAGCGACACCCGAAGTTTTTGGAACCTTCTGAGCCCCAGAGTCTCCGACACCCGCTAGACCCTAGCAACCACCATGAACCCAAGGTCGACAACCCTAGAAGCCCACAAGCCCTCAAAACCCTGAAACCCTCGAAGCCGATAAAACCTCACCTAGAACGCTATACATCTGAATTAACCCTGCAAACCTGATTAAACTGATTTGAGTTTAAGGCCCTGTACCGCCCTGTGCCCTTATAAGCCCCAGAGAGCCCACAAACTCTGAGCTACAAGTCCCGAAACCCTCAATCCCCTGAACCCTGAACCCTGAACCCTACACCCTAAACCCTAAACCGTAAACCCTGAACCCCAAAACCCTAAATCCTAAACCCTATGAGCCCATGATCCATCCTGGATGGTGAGCCGCGGCCCGGCCGCTTCAGCTGGGGGCACCTGCGCCGATGGCGGCTCCTCCTCCCGACTTCTTTTCGGGTTTGGGGTTTAGGGTTTAGGGTCTAGGGTCTAGGGTTTAGGGTTTAGGGTTTAGGGTTCAGGGTTTAGGGTTTAAGGTTTAGGGTTTAGGGTTTAGGGTTTAGGGTGTGTCAGGGGCGGGCGCGCGCTCGGGTGTGAAACACCCCGGGCCGCGCGCTCGCGTTGCCCGTCAACCCACCCCGGCCACCCAAACTATACTCTATTAGGGTTTAGGGTTTATGGAATTTGTTTTCTTGTGCTCTGATCCTTGCTTTGATGATTTTAAAGTTGCGCTGTTTGGGTTTAAGCTGGGGTTGGGGGTAGCCTCGGCCCTTTTCGGGCCTTCGGCGTGTCAGGGCCCGTAGAGGCCCTTATTTATTTGAAGGTCAGGGAAACCCTTTGTGCCTGCTCCTGGATTCCCCTTCTTGAAGGGCCTCAATCAAGCCCTTGGCGTGTTGCCGAACAAGCTTGCGATGCCCATGTAGAAGAACACAGGAACTTCAGCGCCGGCGCCAAGAAGAGCACACAAAGGCCTCAGCAGAAAAAACAAAAAACATGCAGGCTAACTAGCTGCTCTAGGGCTTAGGGTTTAGGGTTTAGGGTTCAAGGTTCAGGGTTCAGGGTTTAACTACCCCCCCTCTATACTGCCCCCCTACATTCCCCTCTTAAATAACCTCCACTAGGCCTAACTATCCCTAAATAACCTGAGTGATGGGGGGGGCCTAAGGGTTTCGGGCTTTGGCCTAAGGGTTTCGGGCTTTGGCCTTAGGGTTTCGTCGACGCCCAATCATCTCATAGCACTTCCTTGGCTTTTTCTGAGCCCCTCCCAAAAGCTTAACTTCTAGGCTCCTTCTTGCAGTTCATGAAGAGTCGTGGTATTTCAAGATCACCGGAGCTCCCACTTATGCTACACCTCCTAGGTCATTTCACAAAGTCGGGCTAGACTAGAGTCAAGCTCAATAGGGTCTTCTTTTCCCGCTGATTATCCCAACCCCGTTCCCTTGGCTGTGGTTTCGCTAGATAGTAGGTAGGGCCAGTGGGAATCTCGTTAATCCATTCATGCACGTCACTAGTCAGATGACCGAGGCATTTGGCTACCTTAAGAAAGTCACAGTTGCTCCCGCCGTTTACCCGCGCCAGGCTGAGGCTGGGGCTAGGGCTGGGCCTGGGGCTGGGGCTGGGCTGGGGCTGGGGCTGGGGCTCTGTGGGCTGGCTCTGTGGGTGGGGCTGGGGCTGGGGCTGGCTCTGGAAAATGGGCTGGGGTGGGTGGGCTGCTGGCTGTTGGGGGGTGGCTGGGGCTGGGGCTTATTTCGGGCCTAATTTGGGTTTTGCCTCTGGTCCTCGCCAAGGGCTGCTTCGCCACGGTGTGGGAGGTGGGGGAGCTTCGCGCCCGCGGAGCTGCTTCAGCACACGCGGCTCTGCCACGCGGTCACGTACGCCTCCTGCCAGGGCCTCACGCTGCGGGGGAGAGTGTGGCTCTGTGACGTCGAGAACCCGCACTTCTCGGTGAAGTACCTGTACGTGGGCGCGTCGCGGGCCCGAGCGCGGAGCTCCTCAGCGTGGTCTGAGACCGGCGGAGCCATCCCGGTAATTCCCGGGATGGCCGGGAGGGCGAAAAAACACGTTGCGCGCCACCGCACCGCCGCCACCGCTTTCGGCTAAAGTTCCCCATCTCCCCCGCATGCACCGCGCCGCACCGCCGCCACCGCACCGCTCTCGGCAAAAGTTCCCCATCTCCCCCCTACACACCCAACTTTAACGACTTTCTCGTTCACATCAGGAAAACGGTCGGGCATGCACAAATGAACGCGTCACGCGGCATGCGCAAATGAACGCGTCACGCGGCATGCGCAAGTGAACGCGTTTCGCGACATGCATGAACGCGTTTCGCGACGTGCATCTTTGCCGCATCATGAATCATTTTTGCCGCATCTTTACCGCATCATGAAACATTCGGCTTTGCACTAATTTGCTTCACTCGGCTTGTCAGCTGTGAGGGATCTGGGGGTGTCTGGGGGTCTGCGGGGGTTTGAGTTGAAGTGAATTGAAGTGAATTGAATATTCGGCTTGCCAAAAGCGGTTTGAATTCATTTACTTCAACTCAGCTTGTCAGCTGTTTAGACAAATAACATGGGAAATTCAGGGGGCGCTTGCCAACAGTGGTTTGAACTAGTTTACTTAAACTCGGCTTGTCAGCTGTTTAAACAAATAATTTCTATTTATTTTGTCTTGAGGGTTTAGGGTTTAGGGTTTAGGGTTTAGGGTTTAGGGTTTAGGGTTTGGGGTTTAGGGTTTAGGGTTTAGGGTTTAGGGTTTAGGATTTAGGGTTTATAGAAATTGTATAGGGTTTGTGGGGGGGGGTTTTGGGGGTTTTGTTTTTTAACTTTTGCTACTTCGTTTTTGTTTTTTTTTTGGGGGGGGCTTGGCTGGAGGGGCAGTGCGGGGTTTGCCGGGTTTTGCCGGGTTTTGGATTTGCCGGGTTTTGTCAGGTTTTGTTTTTTGCTTTTGCTCCAATGATTGCTAGGGCTGGGGCTGGGGCTGGGGCTGGGGCTGGGGCTGGGGCTGGGGCTGGGGCTGGGGCTGGGGGCTGGGCTGGGCTGGGGCTGGGGCTGGGGTGGCTGTGGGGCTGGCTCTGGGGCTGGGGCTGGGGCTGGGGCTGGGGCTAAACCTGGGGCTGGGGTGGGGCGGGGTGGGCTGCTGGCTGTTGGGGGGTGGCTGGGGGCTGGGGCTGCCTATTTCTACTTTGGGTTTTGTTTAGGAAGCCTTTTGGTCCTGGGGCTTTTTTACTGAATATTCGGCTTTGCACGAATTTGCTTCACTCGGCTTGTCAGCTGTGAGGGATCTGGGGGTGTCTGGGGGTCTGCGGGGGTTTGAGTTGAAGTGAATTGAAGTGAATTGAATATTCGGCTTGCCAAAAGCGGTTTGAATTAATTTACTTCAACTCAGCTTGTCAGCTGTTTAGACAAATAACATGGGAAATTCAGGGGGCGCTTGCCAACAGTGGTTTGAACTAGTTTACTTAAACTCGGCTTGTCAGCTGTTTAAACAAATAACATGGGGGAAATTCAGAGTGGTATCACACACAATTTCTATTTATTCCGTCTTGAGGGTTTAGGGTTTAGGGTTTAGGGTTTAACCAACAGGTCCGTGGACCGTCATTGGGGATGCTGTACTGGCGAAATTGTTCTTCAACTCCACCCGAATGAAAAAACTGGAACACAACTAAGATACCCTGGCTCTCACGAAGTTTCAGTGAAGGTCAAATGTCGAGATGGTTCAATAGCAACCTGCGTGGGAGCGCGTATGCACCACAGAACATATGCACTCGATGCGATGGCAGTGCGGTCTGAAACAGAGACGATACGTGCTTGGAGACCATCATCTGTTAGCCACAGCTTTTCTCCATCCCTCAAGGCCGCTCTGTAGTGCCCCGAGCTGGGCTTGTCCCCATAATGAAGTCCTGCAGCCACAACATCAAACGTGAGCCAGATGCAGTGCGTGGATACACTATTAACAAAGACAGGGACGCGAAGGGAGCCACCAAGACCCCTAACAACCCTATGGTCCTTGAGAATGGATGCCCCCTTAGTGGCTTGAAACCTGAGGAGCTGGATACACAGAACAGCGGGGACCCGGCTTAAGGCATGAACTGCGGCCTGCTGATGCCAGCGCAGAATGCATTGCTGAAGAGTGCATTCCACACCTGTGGGCAAGTGCAGAGCTATAGGTGAGCAGCACTGCCCACCATCATGCACGTGAACACGAGTTCTGCGCACAGTGCGAGCCTGCCACTCCCCTTGATACTCTGAAACCTGGAGTTGTGGGATCATATGGTGGAGGAACTCAGGAAGATCATGTTGGCGGTCTGGCTGACGCCAGCCCCTCATGAGTTCATGCCAAGGCGGGTACCGAAGAAGCGAGATCGGTGTGCGCTCTGAAAGCTCTCGCATCCATCGGGTATACCTGGCAACAGCGTCAGGGAGTGGATGTGGCATACACGCATATGCCCACAGAGCACAGAGACACGCCGTGTTCGTGTAACAGTGGTTGTGAGGGTTATGCAGTGGAGTTCGAATGAGGGCTTGTTTCAGACTGTGCACCTGTGGGCTCACCACTGGATGGACTGCTGCAGGTCCAAGGCCAGGCCACTGTAGCCCAGCCTCTCCCGACGAAGTCGAGCCCCGATGAGGTGCAAGGCCCCCAAGTTGATCCACTTCTGAACGATGGACCACACCCTGTCTCCCCCCGACCTTAGCCCCACTTCCAACTGGAACTGAACCCACTCCGTCTGCGGGTGTTCCACGAGCGGGCGCATGCTCTGAAACCTGGCGATGCTCTCGAGGAACCGAGCAATATCCTGCAGGAGGCTGGCCTGGGAGATCGCGGGAGTGGACTCGCGAGGGATCAGTTGCTCTGCTGTCCCGTCCCATTGCAAGTATTGCCACTCGCCCTCTGGATTCATCCAGCGAAGACTTTTGGCTCTCACCACCGAGCTCTCCTCCTGCTGAAGCTTCCCCTCCAGTCTGACGTGCCACTCTCTTACCAGGCAACGCAGAAGCGCCTCCCTGAGAGGCTGCTTCAGTTGGGAGGGGTCTTCCTCCTTGAGTTGCCGCCACTTCCGCGCCACATTGAACACTACGTCCAACACTGTGCCCTCGCCTGTACGCAAGTACAGGTACATAGCAGTGCTTTGCCTCAGGCACCCCAGCTGCGTTTCGTGTCTCAGCGCCAGACGCACAAGCTGCCGGATGAGGCCCTGCTCCTCCGGATCCTCCTCTTGGTGACCCTGCCATGAACTTGCAAAACCGGAGGGTGGATTGGACAAGGCCTTGTCCCGTCCCTTGGTTCCTGCGCTCTTGCCTTTGCCCTTCCCTTGCCCCTTGGGTTGCTTCTGAGTGCGACGCGGTTCCCCCCCCGCATGTCGCCTCTTGGCCGGGGCAGGTGGGTCTGTGTTCATGGGCTGCGCTCTTTGAGGTGTCGTCGTGGCTGAGAGCCCCTGCCCT